CTGCACCCGATGTCAGCTCATGATGAAATTCTGTGACCAGTCCCAGGATGAGTTTACCGATGAAACAATGAAATTTTTTTTATCATATTATCATATCGAATAAAGGATTTTATACAGGTGAATACAAGAGATGAATAACCTGTAGGAACTGTTGTTAGATAGTTCGAGGGAATCGGCAGGAAGCCTTAGACTCAGTCTTCATGCTTGTAGGCCTTTGTCAGCATCATGTATCTGCAATCCTGGAGGGACTCATATCTCTTCTTAGATTCAAACCCGGGAGACATTACCACTGAGCTGATTGGTCTCACGACTGACCTCCTATAAGGACTGTAATGGATATTTTATTTATGAATGTGTGCAGGTGTGGTGTTCGCTTGGCATTTTACATTTCTTGGAATATCAAATTGCATAGGAACTTTATTCTCGGTAACTTGTTTATTAGAAGCTGAGTTATGTTACCAAGTAAATAGTTGAAGATAAATATAAGTTCAGACGGTAATGAAGCCTACAATAAAATAGCTTAGTTAAGTAACTGATTTACAGTAACTTGAACAGTTTATAAGGAATTAGTGCTTAAAAAACTGAATGTGTTATCAGTCGAGATTAGCGCTGAATTTACGGGGAAATGTTTCTAATAAGGCAGTGCGTTAGAAAATCTACGCGTTAGGAGAAACCAGTTTAATAAACAGAGAGAAATAACCTAACATGTATGTTTCAAGTTAGGTCACAAACTGACCTGCGTTCGATAACTACTGAAAACCAGGGGATTCTGGACAGTTGTTTCTTTTTAGGTTGGGAACTGGTCGAAAGTATGCACCGGCGATTCCACAGGGGAGCCTAACCACGACTTTCAGGTAGCATGAATGTGTAATTAATGATCGAGTAATAGTTGGGAGATATGTTTTACTATCAGTCTGGTCGTTCTCAAACATCTTCAAGTAATTGTTGACCATACTTCTCGGAGGTTTATATGAATATTAATCATAAATATGGGAAAATCTGGCTTTTATGCAGTAAAGTCATACATAAGAAAACCCTACACAGAAGTGTGTCAGTTTAAATTATGACAATTTTCAACAGTGTGGAGCAACATATCTTAGTCTTACTACTCTTCAGTTTTATTCGTCATTAATTGTACTTCAATTAAATGGTTTGTTTTGAAAAGAACAAACATTTCAGTTAACATAGGTAACATAGATTCACAGCTTGTTTACTTTTCTTATCTTAAAAAAAGTCGATGCAACTCATTTTAGGATGCCATGATATTTAAACAGTTCTTTGAAGATAAGTTTTTATTTTTCCAAGTTTTCTATTTTTTTGGTGATCGAAGAAGGTGTTTTTTTCCTTCTATTAATATTTACTTCCTGAAAGATTGGTGTTCATTTTATGCTGCCAAGTGTACTCTGCATACTTCCCATGGAGATTATTTTACAGAAGTGCATGAATATATTTTTATCTTTTTCAAAAAAAATTAAGATTGGATTTGCTTTTTAATGATGAGAAACATGGGTTTTTCGGAAAGGCTTTTGGTGTTCTCTCTATTGTGGGTCGAATTAGATGGTAGTATAAGCGTGAATAAGTCCACATTTCTCATGGTAATTGTTTGCTTTTGAGAACTTAGGCGGGTGTTATTTTATTATCATTATTGCTATTATTATTCCCTTGGGTTGTGAGTGGAACACAAAAGGCTTCAGCAGTACATCTCTGTACCACCCTGTTCTCTACAGTCTTTTGAGCTTGTTCCACTATTGTCCATAAGCCTTCATTTCCTCCCCCACACAATTTCCTCCATGTCATTCTCAGACCTACACCCAACTCTTGGTTCCCCATTCGGGTTCCACCCGTGAGCCTACCTTTAGCGCAATATCATTCAACGTCTGTCCTATCCATCTCCTTTTTCTTCGGCATATATGTTAGGCGATAATTTCTTGGTTGGTCTGTTTGCAGAGTTCTTTTCTGCTTATCTTTTCTGGCCGGCCGGTCATCTGATCTTCAGTATAGAGCAAAGACAGCCGTTGATAAAAGTCCACAGCCTGTTGGAAATTATTTTGATGACGCGTGCGACAAGTCTGTGAACCATATAGAGAAACACTGGCCTGATATTAGTGTCGAAAATTCAAATCTTGTTTCTAGTGCCGAATTTCCACACTGATTCCGGTGCTAACTGCCTTTGACATCCTCATCTGTACTACCTGTAGTTTAGACGATCCTGCATAGATCAGTGGGAGAAGTTACTTGCTTCAAATGTCTCCTGTTTATGGTGATTGGTGCTTGTTGTTAGTCGCCGAGTATCTGCATCATCTCTCTCTTCTATATGTTCACCTAAAGTCTTGTTTTTAGTGCCTTTTCTGGCAACCGGTTGGTTTTCATCTATAGACCTTCAAGTTTGTGACATAATCATCCGCGAAAGTTCAGATCTCCCAGTGTCTTTTCGTCAGATACTATGGTCTAAATTAGTTTATCTAAGGAGTGTACGTGAAACGTAATTACTCTTCATTACTAGTATGAGTGATATATGCTGTTGAAGTACCTTTTTATGTTAGAAAGCTAATGAATTATTGTATAACCTAGTGTCTAATGCAGAAGAGCTGTAGTCATTGTCCTCAATGTAATTTGAGTGTGGTCTGTTAGCCTAATGCTAAGCCTTAAACCGTACTGAAGATGGTGATTAGGAATTCATTGAAGGTTCCTACTTAAAAAACAATTCAGGCAGAAACTTCATATTCACATATAGAATTCAATTAAAACCCTATTGAGTGCAGATATTGATTGCAGTTGTAAATAGGGTTTAAAAATATGAAGGTTAAAAACCAAATTTGTCGTTATTATTGATCCACTGAGAAGAATTTCAGGTTCAGCTTAATGAATAGTATAACTTGACTACTTCTTGCTGTTCCTTGATGTGAGCAAATCGTTAAATTGTATTCTTTTTAATATAGAAAGTTGACTGACCATCAGTAAAAGGTTCTTTTGTGCTCTGTATTCATTTTCCGCACGTAGCAATACCTTAATGAATCACATGTCTATATAGCAATTCTTCAGCTATATTAGGACCTTGTCACTTTCGAAACTTATGGATTTATAAATCCACTGGTGATTCTTGTGGGTAGTGTGTTATTTTCATTGACATTGTGATACCATGACAATGAATTGGTTGCGTAACGTTTGCTTATCAAACAATGGACAGTAAAAATGTTTACCCGTCGAAATACGTCATGATTTACTGATTTTTTTAATCCGATTATGCCAGGTGAAGTAACGTCGTCGAAAGTGTTGTCTAAGTAACCTAGAGTCTTAAGATTCCTAGCTGGTAGTGGGTAGATGGAGATGACAAGTCCTAAACAGGACGAAATGCATACGTTGTTCACTGCTAGTCAACACTACCAAAAAGGAGAAGTGGCACATTGGTTTAAGCTCTTAACTTACAGCCAATGCGTCCTGGGTTCGAGTCCCGCTCTGACTACCTCAGCTTCGGCAACTGGATATTATCATCAGCCCCCGTACAATAAATAATTGTAGCTCACGGTCTGGTACATGGACTGAACTATACTGCTATGTATACAATTCAGTGGTTAGTATGACACATTAGTGTAATACTACTGTGGTGGTGTCATACAGATAATGGGTTCCAACGGAATATTATTCTCACAGTAAGAATCATTGTATTTGTTGGTGTTAACGTTTGAATACTATTCGCACAGTTCAATACCGCATTAGCAACAGAACTGAATAATATTTGTATTTGAACGTTCTATTTCATGTCGGTTAATGTAAACCAAAATCACACGCTCAGTGATTGGTTAAAGAATATAAATTGTATAGATATATAAATAGCTGTTTGATCACTTGAAAATATCCCTTGGCTTCCGTGTCTTGCCTTCTGCTGTTACACTACTAATACTGCTCATACAGATTATCATTCTTGAATTACATGAAAATACTTCATATTAGGTTACCGTCTTTTTTCTAAAAGAACATGTTTCTTCTCTAGTAAACGACCAGTCACTCTCAAATTTGTCATCATAGCAGTTTTAAGGCTTTTTACTTAGGTAGGTATAAAATTGACTGTCCAGGTTAATATTATTCCAACTATTTACTGCATTCATGAGTATAAACGAACTATGATTTTCTTTCTTACTCTGCATGTTACTTTCTCTTCTGGTTCTTCTCCTTCCTCCGTTTTTTCTCTCTTTATGTTTGTTTTACTAACAACATTGGTGTGATTCTGTGGGTCGATATTTTTTTTATTATTCATTACTGTGAAATATGAAGAAACAGAAGTTAAAGGTTAACAGCTATGCTATGTATATAACATGTGGTGTACTTTATTATTATTATTATTATTATTATTATTATTACCTTATGTGAATTACATTTAGATATTATTACTGATTATTATTATCAGAAAAGTTCTGTATGTAAGTAACACTGTAACGGTAGAAGACAAGAAATTATGCACATCTTCAATATCTTCAACAAGCCATTTGCACAGGTCTTCCGTTTTGTGCTACTTCTGCCCTTCCTTCATAGTGTGTTTATTTCACGCCTTCCATATGTTCTCCGCAACACTGAGTCATATGGCTTCTCTGGCGTCGAATCTATCTCCCTGTTATTTGATGTTTTTCTGCCGATGAACATCTCTTTAGATATATACTACTGATAAGTCTTATCAGTAGCACAGGCCACAACATGGCACCTTTTTAGTATACATTAGTGACTACTTGACTACATTTTACAGTTCCATTCCCGAGACCACATTGCCTAGAATGTATAGGTTACCTCTAACAGTCTATGTGATTTAGTTGCCTTTCTATATTTTATAAGCTAATTTTGAAAAGTATGCACTTGAGTTATCATCATAAAGGTCTTCAATAGAGATGTATAATAAGGACATGCGTAAATTAGACCATTGTGATACTCTGAGGATACACTAATTTGCATATATTACATAACTTTATGTGATAAAACTAAAGTGCTTTTTTTTTCCTTTTGATTTTCAGATTAGTATTGGGACTTGTGACAGTTTTTGAGAAAATTGTCGCCGATCTTCGTCAAACTTGGCATGTTATACTTATGTAAGTGGATTAGGTTTCAGATGTCGTTTTTTAATATTTCATTACTGTCAAACTAATGTAATCTTTAAACTGGTTGGAAGTAGGAACGAAGACCGAACAGCGCTAGGGGGGAGGATAGAAGGTATTGCGAAGTATTCTCGGGCATAGTATAGCAAACTCTGTGAAAAAGTTGATAAAACACCTTTTAAAACAGCTGAACGTAACATCTGATATGATTACACCATACAAATTCAACTACCTGAGGAAATTGAAGTCGTAATTGATCGCCTCCGATCTACCTATGCGAATATACCGAGACGTGATCGTGGGGAGTTTGATTTGCAATAACTTATATCCTCGCCCCAGCACTGAACTATGGTTCCATTTTCAACTGATATCATGGAAAGTATTATCGTCTCCAAGTTGCTTTTTTGTCTCAGTCATTCTGATAAGATTCATTGCGAAGTTTGTGCTGAAGATCTCGCGTAGAAACATGACGAAAGCACTTCACAGTTAAGTCATTCGCCTCGGAGAAGGCAATTAACATCAAAAACGTCTATATGAGCCATCAGTTTTTTTCCAACATTTGTAAAAAAACGATCTATAATTCCTTATAAGGGCCTAAACTTCTATTTCTTGAGTCTTCGTTTGAATTAGTTGCTTAACCACTTTGCAAGGTTGTATGTAACCTCTTTGTATTCTGTGTTGAATTATTCTCCAGTTAACTGCCTTCTTCAGTGAGAAATAATGAGACAGAAATATCATGTCTAACTAATGTTATGTCTATCAGCACTTCATATTTAGTGGTTAGACTTTTCTGCGTCTTCTCTTTACCTTCAAATAACAATAATTCACAGTTTCAATGTGGATTTCATTACAGACCAACGTCATAACCTGTAGGGACTCTGGAAGAGAGGTCGTGGGTTTGCACTGATGAAGATTCCCAAACTAGGATAGAGCAACTGTCCAGTGCCCCCTCGTTTTCAATGACTCTATAACTAATATTCGTTCATCATGAAGTCTTCATTAGAGCTTATCCAATATTCCTACAAAATCACCCTTAACCGAATTCACAGTTGGTTACTATGCTTCACACGCTCACACACACAGTCAAGTAGTATTGTAAAGCTTCACAAACAAGTACCTAGATCATCTTATATATTAATAATTTATTTATTTTTTTGTTTTTCGACATCACTTTATATTTGTCCACCTAGAGTTTAAGCATTGTTTTCCAGTTAAAAGTTGGAAAGATTTATTGCAAACAATCGTTTTTCAATGCATCAGTAATAAAACATGTAAATATACAGTCGCCCCCCCCCCCACCTTGTATTTTTCTCAGCATAGAAAGAAAGTGATCTCTCATAGTTATAAAATTACACTAATTGTGTTTTTATTTACGACTAGACAAGTTTTTGATTGATTGTCTCAAATCACCCACACTTAGTGAATATGTATTTTGTGCATTATGTAAAATACCAGTTAGTTAATGTATTTTTGAATACTGTGGATCGAAGATCTTGAGAGAGTGTGTGCATTATACTACTAACAATCACATTCTCTCTAGAGCCATACATAATATGTGAAATGACCAAAGTCTTAATACTTTTCTTTATTTCATAAATTCATAAAGGAGGTTTTTCTTTTAAAAAATGAATCCTGACATTCACACACATACATACGCACAGAGCTTCACTTGTATGTTTACACTAGAAATGAATTCCTTTAAATTTACGATCAAATAAACAGACATTTACTAATTAAGCAATCAGGAAACAGGCATAAAATGGACTCACACAAAAAACTTGGAGGATCTAGACTTCGCCGATGATATATGTCTGATTTCCCACAAACTGGAAGATATGCAAGCGAAAAGCAACAAGTTGGCAGAAGAATTATCCAGAGAAGATAGGACTTCAGGTAAACATAGAGAAAACAGAAATGATAAAGATACCTGGCCAACACCATCAACAGCAACAACCACAGGCAACAATCAGCATAAATGGGAGAAATTTGAAAGAAGCAACCTCCTTTACCTACTCACCTGGGAAGCATCGTTTCAACTACAGGCGGAACTGATGAGGATATCAAAGCAAGAGTCGGAAAAGCAAGACAACCTTTCACTACTCTCAAGGTCAACAGCACTCAGCATCAAAAATAAGATCCGGATTTTCAGCTTGAATGTGAAGTCAGTGCTACCATACGGATCAGAGACTTGGCCAGCGCGTCATAAAGAGCATCTCAAACAAACTACAGACCTTCATTAACAGTTGTCTTCGCTCAATCCTCAAGATCAGATGGTCAGAAAAGATCAGCAACAGAGATCTTTGGGAGCCAACCAACACAGCAAGAACCGATTGTGAAGCAAATAGGCAGGAAGAAATGGAGATGGATTGGCCATACTCTGAGGAAACCATCAAGTGACATCGCTAGACAAGCCATTGCTCGAGTGGAACCCGAAAGGGAAGCGGCGAGTTGGTCGTCAGAGCGAGGGTGACTTGGAGGAAGTCATGTGAAGAGGAGATGAAAACGTGTGGGCAGACATGGAGCCAGGTGAAGACTCTAGCAGAGAACAGAACGCGATGGAGACGCACGGCTGAAGCCCTATATTCCTCTAGGAATTAAAGGAAACAATAATAATAATACTAATTAAGCTGCTTTAGGCGTCATTGTTTTTACTGTCTCTGTTGTAACGTGATGTTTTATGAAGTTGAGGTGTACTTTGTGTGTGTGTATCTGAGGTGTGATTTGTAAAAATTGCTTTATTTGTACTTAATTATTATGAAAATGAAGCATATATATATATACATATGATTCTCTCCTTCATTAGGTTGTATCAATAATTTGCGAACTGTTATTTAGGAGAGGAAGAGAGACATATTGCAAAACTTGTGGTGTGCTGTTTTTTCTTTTCTATATCTGTGATATTGATCACGAGTGCATAAACTGTTTTTGTTGATTCATTTTATTCCATTGTATTTGTTATTAGTATATTCTGCAGTTGTACTGTTCATTAATTCATTGTTCATATTAGTGAGTAGCTTTCGTATGTTTAGGAAATGTAAGTAGCACTGAACTGTTTCCATTTGTCTAACTATTTTACTCAAATGGTTTTTAATCTGCAAACAATTGTATTGCATTTAGTGGAGCCGTGATCCATTTATTTAGGTGTTCGGCGTCCTGGCAGTCATGGGTTCGAATCCCCTACTCCACTTTCCGAGGTTTGGACAGCCAAATGGTATCACTAGGCTTTCACACAATAGGTGTGGTTCATAGCCGACTGCATGAAATCACAAGTGGTTGTTGAGTGACTTTTCAATTCACTGCACATTGAGTTCTGATGAGAAAACATGTATGTCTCTGCTAACTCGTAACTTTGGTTATTGTTATTATCGTATATAGCAGATGCTAATGAGTACAATTTACTGTTTTTGTTGAAAAATATTACCCGCGTCATACTATAGTTTTATGGTTTAGCTGAGGTTCGTCTATTTTTGTGAGTGTGTTGTACTCTAAGCAGGTTTATTAGGGCTTTAATGGAAGCAGGGATCAGTAATATCCTTGCTGATTTTTGTTACTCAATGATTTTCATCTTTCAATGAGATTTCTTTAATTGATTAAGGTAACACGACATTGTTTGATTGTTTGAACCCCGTTACCCAGAATACATTTTCATGTAATATGTGAAGTCTGATGATACTACTGAGTTACCCAGGCTGAAGTGAACGACGCTAGATTCGAACCCAGTGACCTACAGATTGAAAATTGGGTTCTTAAACCCATAAGCCACGTCTCCACGATAACAGATGGTGTTAATTAAAATGCCTTATCTTTTCTTAAAATTTACTTAGTATGTAAACTATTTGCGTTTAATTACAAGAAATAGCAAGTAGTTGATAGTTATATTAAATAAAATGATAAATGTTAATAATTATTTGCTTTATTCCAAAACAGAACTAATGTTACAGTGTGAAATTTTCAGCATTTGGTACAATAGTGCATCTAATTTTATCGAATAGCATTTAAAAAGCAATTATAAAGATAACATTACAGGATTGTTAATGTTAGTTTTTTTACTTGGTATTAGTAGTGACAGTAAGATCATAAACATACAAAGAATTGCAAAATAATGATAATATTGTTAGTAGTTAAGACTGTCAGTTAATTGAGATAGTGTCACCATAGATTACAAATAGGAGATAATAAAAGAGCCGACTATTTTGCTAAAAATATAGTAATTCATAAGTTGCACACTTTGCGTTGTCTCTATCGAATAGAACACGGGTCAAATGTGGTATTGTTGAGTTCCTATGCTTGGTAGTTGGACCACATAATCTTTTGTACTGACTTCTATTTCTACCAGATGAGATACAAGGGGAGAGTTGAGAATAGAGGGGGTATTGAAGGTCAAACAATATAGATTTAGACCATTTCTCTCATGAGTTCAGATGCCTATTAGCTAATGTAGTGACAAGCTGACTAAGTTGCACACTGCTTGCCCTACTGACAACCTTTAATACCCTTTTCAAAATGATATAGTCCTTTTTCAGTAACCCAGGAAAGACTAAGGGGGAGCAGTTAAGTACAATAGGTAAGATACACAAGTTAACAAATTGTAAAAGCAGAGGTTGAGTGATTCCAGATTGTTTTAGCTTCTTAGTGTAGTAGCTTAGACGGAACATTTTCTTGGAGATTGACAAAATATGGGATGACCAATTAAGGTTAGAGGATAGAACTATACCAAGGTATTTTGCGTTAGACTTACTTTCTGTTACAGTCCCGTCTAGTCTACAAGCATCGTGTGTGCTAACCAGTTGCTGTAGTTCGCATTTATGTCTAAATGAAAAGTCAATAGTTCAAGGTAGTTAGGTGAAAGATTGCGTTGTGTTAATAGCTGAATTCACTTTCGTATTAAATATGTTTATTAACAGATTCTAAATATGTAAGAGTTCATTTGGGATGAATAAATAGTTTGTAAGTACCTTAGGCTTACTTCACTGACAAAAATAATCGCATGATTTTGTGTTAAATTTGTGTATTTATAATTTAAGAAATCTGAGGCAGTCTCGCTCGTTTTTCACCGAGCTCATCAGTGGTATATCCAGTTTCACTCAGCTGAGATAACTAAATCAGCTCAGATCATCCCAATTCTGATTGATGTGAGTAGTAACCAACTACTTATGTCTATTATCATTTATGTACGCTTTTATGCAATCGAAATTGTTGGTTAGAGTTGCATCAGCCCCCAATGGGTTGATCGCTGACGAAATCTCAGCACGGATACAGAAGGCTCTTTTGGCATTTTTAAGCCAACTTACTCTATCTGGCGTAGACATGATATCCGGCTGTCGAACAAAAGGCGTCTGTACTGCTCAGCAGTCCACTCCGTCCACATTTACGGCTGTGAGACATGTCTATTGAAAGTGGAAGATACGTAAAGACTAGCTGTCTTTGATCATAAGTGTCTGTGTCCTGTCTCCCGTGTTAAATAGTATAATAGGATGAGCAATATGGAGATTAGGCGTCGATTGCTAGGTAGGTAGGAGGGTAAATCAATCGACGAGGTTGTGAAGTTATATCGATTGTGATGGTTAGGCCATGTGTTACACATGCCTAACCATTGGTTTCTTCGACAGACAATGTTAGCTGATATAGGATGGATCAGGTTGGAAAAGACCTAGCTGGTGGTGGTCAAACGAAAACATGGCTTGATCAGTTAATGAAATCCACAACAGTTAGTTTGGGCCAGTCAACCAGCCACACAGAAACGTGTAGACTTCTAGGCTGTTTGGAATCCTCAGGATAGTAAAAACCAGTGACTGGAGACAACTGGTGATATGATTCAAAGTCGTTCTCGGGGATGGCGCAGATTGCATTCACTGATTGTGATTTGTCATATCCAATAAAATTTTGTTGTTCTTTTATATATTACTATTGCTTTTACCTCGTATCTCTGTTTATTATCTCTCTTTTGAATCGTTCTGTACTCTCTCCTGTTGCTTTGTATGGTACATGATGGGAGTGTGGCAACTCGAAGTGCTGCACATCTAAGTTCTATGTTGAAACCAGTCAGTCATCAAAACTGTTGTTAGGCATGAAAACTATGTGAATGACTGTTATATATATGTGATCACTGATTCGTGTGTTGGGTGTGTTGTGCAATTCATATGTGAACGTATACTATGAGTAGACGTCTAAGTTATACTAGCACTTTTACATGTTTATTCATATTAATGAGGATGTGTTCTGTTAGCATTGTAGCTATTATGTGATGTCTAATAGACACTTATCTACAAATTAAATTGTAACAAGTTTTATTGATGGAGTGGTTTTGAAAAAAAGTGTGTAAACAAAGAAAATCCAGTTTTAGCACGACTAACATTGTCTAGTGATAAATTAATTTCATTTAGATTATCCTGATTGATGTATGTTATAATTGCTTATTTATTTAAATAAGGCAGGAACAACAGTTTGTAAAGAATAAGATGGTATCATCTCATATGTTTCGTCGACTTTTTATTACCTGCTTACAGCCTAGAGATGTTGTTAAATTTGTGTACAGTAAAGATTTCAATGTACTTATACAGAGAGTTCATTTTTAAACAGAAAAGCAGTGTATGCATACAATGGTAATAATAATAATCACTTTATTCCAAATAATAATAATAATCATACAGAATGGAATTTTCAGCGTTACGTAATCAAGTGAAAGAGACGATGAAAACATTCAGTTACCATGATAGGCAAGGAAAGACTGATAACTGCCTCTTTCGGAACACATAAATATGGTTTCAGGCGCTTGATGGAGATTGCTTCAGCAGACGTGAGGAGAATTCAAATATTTTGCCTATTGATAATTTTGAAGGGTCTTGCGATGTCCACCTCAAGACCTGTGTCAAAGAGGTGCGTGCCTGGCAATATCACTGTTGAAAGCATTTATTCCCCTGAGACGTGTAGACGTTTTGGTACATGTTCTTTCTGTTCTCCTAATGTGACTGTGCCTGCAGATATATGTAAATTTGTATACACGGTTGGAGTTAAGATAAGAAGAGTATCTGTCGAATTTTGATTGCACCAGGGAGCATGTTGTCTGAAATATAGGAACCAACTTAGCTGCAGGATGGTCTCTGGTCGGTGACATATTCAATCTTCCATTGATTGTTCCTGCCATATCACCTTTAAAATCAAGTTGAATGAAGATATGCTTCTTTCCCACTGTGATTTGTCGGGCATTAGAGCCTTCACATCTCCTGTACTTGTTAATGAGCCTCTCAGGGTAACCGTTGCTTTTCAACATCTTTTCGAGAATCAGAAATCCTTTAATTTCTCTTGACTCTATCGAACAGAGTTTTCACTAGTGCTCGTTTGTAGCTGTTTGGACAAAAACTACTGAAATACATGTATTGCCCATTCCATATCGACTCTCTGTAAATTGACCTCTGGAGAATATCATGCAGAGTCGCATGGCAATGTCAAGGAAATGAGACTTTGCATCATTTTCATGTTCCATAGTAAGTTCAATATTTGTATGTGTGTCGTTAAATAATCGGAGTAGATAGGGAGCATGACTTTCATTGTTGCACACTACAAATATGTCGTCTACATATTGACAATAAGAGGTTTCGTCAATCGCATGCTTCAGCTTTGTTCTTTCAAGGTTGGACATGAAGGTATTTGTCAAAACAAGGCTAACGCTTTCTTTTAAAACAAGGCTAAGTGGACTGCCCATAGTTACACCATCTATTTGTCAGTTAAGAATGTTATCAAACTGGAATTGTACATCCATAGTACACATTAGCAGTAGGCTTTTGAATTCCAACACTGGAAGTGGGAGAAGATCAGACTGCTGACAAATGATCTCGATAGTTTCATTGATTGGGATCCTTGTGAACAAGTAGGGTCAAATGACACCATGAATTAATTTGAAACGTTCAAGTGGTTCACGCTTTCGGCAAAATGAAGTGAATTTTTCATAGTGTAAAAAGTTAACCGTTGACGAATAGGTTCCAACTTCTCTGCAAGCCGACGAGCAACTTTGTGCTGAGGCGAGTTGATCATCGAAAGTATAGGTCTCAGGGGGACATGTTCTTTGTGTATTTTTCACAGGCAAACGGACCCTCAGGGTTGTAAATCATTGTAAACATCGTTGACAATTGCTTGCTTCCTTAGGAGATCTCTTAATACGTTTGTGATGCGTTTTTCAGCTGCATCTGTCTTGTGTTTCTGGGAATCATCAACTTTAAACCTCACTGGGTCATTTAAGACAGTTTTCATCTTTACAATGTAGTCGTCCTTGTCTTTGTATATTATTATTATTGTTCCCTTGGGTTCCTAGTGGAACATAGGGCTTCAACTGCACGTCTCCACTTGCTTCTGTCTTCTGCTGTACTTTTCACTTGCATCCATGTTAATCCATACTGTTTCAACTCCTCATCACACGATCTCCTCCATGTCACCCTTGGACGTCCCACTCGTCGCTTCCCTTTCGGGTTCCACTCGAGCGTTGGCCTGACGCACGATGTCACCCAGCGGCCTCCTCAGCGAGTGTCCAATCCATCTCCACTTTCTCCTGCATATTTGTTGGGCGATTGGTTCTTGTTTTGTGTGTTCCCATAGTTTCTTGTTGGTTCTTGTTCTTTCCGGCCATCTGATCTTGAGTATAGAGCGAAGACAGCGGTTGATAAAGGTCTGCAACAGGCTGTTGGAAATATTCTTTGTGACCCGCCAAGTTTCTGACCCGTATAGAAGAACTGACTGACTTGACGTTTGTATTGAAAATCCGAATTTTGTTGTTGAGTGTTGCTGAGTGACGAAGATTTCCAGATTGGTTTCAGGTTGATGAATGTGTTTCTCGCCTTTCCGATTCTCGATTTGACATCTTCGTGCTTTCGTCCTGTAGTTGAGACAATGCTCCCTAGATAAGTGAATGAAGTAACCTCCTTCAAATCCCTCCCGTTGATGATGATTGGCGGTGGATGTTGCTGCTGTTGTTGTTGTTGGTTGGTTATTTTCATAACCTCCGTCTTGTCTATGTTCACCTGCAGTAAGTTTCTGTAGCAATTTGGTTAAGTTTTAGGGAGTGGAGTTGCTAGCACCACGCCCCAACCCTCCCTCTTTATCCGGGCTTGGGATTGGCTAGAAAACTAGCGAGCTAGTAATCTAGGCGAGGTTCTTTGTATATAATATTGAGGTATTTTGAATTCGTTTTGTAAATGAATGTGAATCACTGGTTTTCATCACAGCTCTTAAATTGAAGAAATCTTGTTTCTTTTTGTTTTTGTTTTTAGATGCATTCTAGTATCGGTGGTTTTGTCATTCTGTTGGATTGTTCTATTACGATGCTGTGCCACTATTATGGTTTGGACTACATTGGTGTTATTTGTGGCGTTATTTACCTTTGGTAAGTATTTCTCTTTAATTTCCATACAACTTGATGATTAGATAGATAGATGTACAACAAATATGAATGTTAAACTTCTATTTTACGTGTATCTGCAGCTATCTGTGAACGTTAAAAATGTCAGTCAAGACAATGACCGTAAGATTAAATAAATAGAACAAATCTATTGACTGGAGGGTTAGTTAAATTGTCGGAACATAAGAATTCAACTGTATCTAGATTGACAGACCTCCTTAGGTTAAGTAATTTAAAAGAAGAAAAAAACTCGATCATATCTGCGCATGAACTTGTGTGTAATCGCTCACAGCAATAAATTGTGCTGAAAGCATCATCCAGTTATTATTACACCATTACTATATGCGCTATATCACATAGATTTGTCTAATATTAATATGAGAAGTTTTTCATCAGTTAACTTTTATACTCCGATTTCGGTATAAGAACATTTTTGAAGGGAAAATTTTCAACTTTCATCTTATTTTAAATCGCAAACATGTTGATGTGTTTGTGATCTGAAATAAAATTCAATATTAGAGTAAATGGAGCAGTTATAACGTGTTTCATTGTCTGGTGTATTCGACATAACCCATTTACCATTCTCAATTGCATATGGGTAACCTTACATTTCACAAAATTGTAAAGAAGTATGTCTCTGTGTTATTACATTTCTTGTAATATTATTATTATTATTGTTTCCTTTAATTCCTAGAGGAACGTAGGGCTTCAGCCGTGCGTCTCCATTGCGTTCGGTTCTCTGCTAGAGTCTTCACCTGGCTCCAAGTCTGCCCACACGCTTTCATCTCATATTCACATGACCTCCTCCAAGTCACCCTTGCATTGACGACCAACTCGCCGCTTCCCTTTCGGGTTTCACTCGAGCAATGGCTTGTCTAGTGATGTCACTTGACGGTTTCCTCAGAGTATGGCCAATCCATCTCCATTTCTTTCTGCCTATTTGTTTCACAGTCGCTTCCTGGTTGGTTCGCTCCCAGAGATCATTCTCTGTTGCTGATCTTTTCTGGCCATCTGATCTTGAGTATTGAGCAAATACAACTGTCAATGAAGGTCTTTAGTTTGCTTGAGATGGTCTTTATGACGCGCTGGCCAAGTCTCTGATCCGTATAGTAGCACTGACTGACTTCACATTGGAGTTGAAAATGCGGATCTTATTTTTGATGTTGAGTGCTTTTGACCTCCACACAGACTTGAGAGTAGTGAAAGCTTGTCTTGCTTTTCCGATTCTTGCTTTGATATCCTCGTCAGTTCCGCCTGTAGTTGAAACGATGCTTCCCAGGTAGGTAAAAGAGGTTGTTTCTTTCAGGTTCCTTCCATTTATGCTGACTGATTGTTGTCTGTTGTTGTTGTTGCTGTTGATGGTGTTGCCCAGGAATCTTCATCACCTCTGTTTTCTCTAAGTTCACCTGAAGTCCTATCTTCTCTGAATGCTTCTTCTGCCAACTTGTTGCTTTTCACTTGCATATCTTCCAGTTTGTGGGAAATCAGACATATATCATCGGCGAAGTCTAGATCCCCCAAGTTTTTTTGTGTCAGTTCATTTTATGCCTTGTAATAGCTATATGCAAATAAATACTATTCGTAGCTTAAGTTTTTTAGCTCAGTGTAATGGATGCAACGGTTAAATCTCGCTCCACCTTAAACATTGTATGTGTGTATGTGTTAACTGGTACAAAGTATATATATGCATATATATATATATATATATATATATATATATCCGGTTGATTGATTCGGTTATAGTCATTTCTTAGTTTTTGTGAGTATAACATGTAGTATTGTGGCATGAGCTACTGATAAGATTTATCAGTAGTATATATAAAGACATGTTCGTCAGCTCAAAAACACTAAATAACAGGGAGATAGATTTGTTGGCAGAGAAGGGAAATAATTCAGCGTTGTTGAGATACACGGGATGCACGAAATAAACATAAAGAAACACAATATGAATGATGGGTAGAAGTAGCACAACACAGAAGATCTGTGCGAATGGTACGTTGAAGATAAGGTGTACATAAGTTTGCTATATAGGGATACCAAATCACAAGTGAACATTCCTTTACCAAGTCTCTGGTATTCTACCGTTACAGTATGATAAGTTAATTATTGTTACAACTTAACAATGTCATGCGTTAATTTTTTAAAGTTAAAATTATTTTACTATCTCTAATGTAGACCGGTGACGAAGTCGGTTTCTCATTTATTGTACAACTGAGAATATTTCACTTGTAGTCTATACGTGCATTGAAGGTTTACGATTAACTATTTAGGACAGATGAGCAGTTATTTTTTGTCATATCATTGTTGCTTATATGATGCTTTTAATTATTCTTTTCCTCTCTACACTTAGTGTTTTATACTTATTAGAAGAACAAAGTTAAGTGCTTTGGTTGTATTTATCCGTTTCCTCCTTCTTATAGGTACTGGATTCTGTTTCTATCGGTGGAATGTGTTGCGTAAAACACCAGAGGGTTCTGCTGATTTTGAATTTTCTTTAGATTTGGCATCATACTTTCGTTTAGCATCAACATGGCTTGCAATGGGTGAGTTCATTCATATTCGCCCCCCCCCCCCCCCTCGTGTATTGTGACTCTCTAAAGAAAAATTATTAGTTACAGGATTTCATCATGAGTTGATATTAGTTAGAGAACCATTGGAAAACCTGGGAGTACTGGACAGCTGTTTCATCCTAGTTTGGGACTCTTCATCAGTATGCACCCACCGGGGTTCGAACCCAGGACCTTCTGGTTACAAGGCGAACTCGTAGACCATTAAGCAACTGTCAGCTCATGATGAAATCCTGTAACCAATCAACCCCTACAAACCAATATTTGAAAAATTATTAGATTAATCACTTAGATAGATGCTAAAATGTAAATCAGTTACCCTTCAAAATGGTTTTAACTTCTGTCTATGTTAATTAGTTATGCATTGATTTATTTACTACCTCAATTTTGTTATAATAATTGCATAGACATTCATCTGACCAATAATCAAATCTCATAGGTGAAAGTCATCTGTTTCTATGTCATTCTGTGTAATCACTTAACCTTCACATTTTGTACGTCGTTCATAACTTGGTACATAAACGTTTGAAGTATGAACCATAATTCAAGCATGTTTATTCCTAACTGACTGATTAGATGAGTTTCAATATAGAAATTGGCACAAAATGCAGCCGTCCAAGTTGCCACACTCCACATATCATACAAAGGTATCGAAAATTTTTAAAAAGAAATATCTCCGTCACTTATCTAGGAAGCATCGTTTCAACTACAGGTGGAACGGATGAAGATGTCAAAGTCATAATCGGAAAGGCAAGATACGCCTTCATCAACCTGAAACCAGTTTGGAAATTTTCTGCAATCCGCCTCAGCATAAAGAACAAGATTCGGATTTTCAACACAAATGTGAAGTCAGTCAGTCACTTCTTGTATACGGGTCAGAAACTTGCACAGCGTGTTACGAAAAGGATTTCCAACAGGCCACTGCAGACTTTCATCAACAGCTGCCTTCTCTGGCTCCATACTGAAGATCAAATGGCCAGCTGGCAGAAAGAATTAGTAACCAGAAACTCTGGCGATGAACAAACCAACCAATAGCCGATTGCTCAACAAATATGTAGGAGAAAATGGAGATGGATTGGGCACACATTGAGGAAGTCGTCGAATGACATGGCGCACAATGCAGGTCATTGCTCGAGTGGAATCTGAATGGTAAGCGACGAGTGGGTCGTCAGTGAGAAGGTGACATGGGGGGTCGTATGGCGAGGAGGAGATGAGAGAGTTTAGACGATCGTGGGCCCAGTTGAAGAGGATGGCAGAGAATAGAAGAAAGTGGAGATGTGTTGTTGAATCCCTATGTTCCACTCGGAACCCAAGGGAACAATAATAATAGCATATTGAGCAGAAATGTTTGGGGAAAGAATAGCAAGAAGGAAGAATGCTAGGGTTTAATGAATCTGGGAGATTAAAAATGGTGATTACAACTGCGCTATTCAGAACTGTTTTGAATCATCTCACCAGTGATTGGTTCTTAGAATCTTGAGGACCCCAACCAGGAAGTCTACCGCGCCGTACATGACTGGCTCAAACCAACGGTTAAAGTCTTCGTCTATTGATACCTTGCTTCGGTTTGACCTCTAACTGTTCTCCAACCTACTGCTATATCAGTTAACATTGCTTGACGAGGAAGGCGGTGGCGCAACACATATGTTCTAAGCATCACAATAGATGTAGCTTCACAATCTCATCGATTGACTTCCCTTTCTAACATAACACTAATTTCAGTACCGCTCACCATGTAATACTACTTAAGACGGTATATAGAATGCACACATCAGTGTTCAAAGACGCCTAGCGTTTTTCACATCTTCCACTTTTAATGGCCATGTTTTACGGACAGAGCGAGCTGCTGCTCAGTGCATACCTGGGGTTCCAGTGGGAAGTCGTGACCAGTAGGGTGCAGCAGGTCGGGTGTGAGGACAAATACTCGCCGAAGACATTGGCTAGCGGTTGCCCTATGTCGTGAATTGGCAGAAGTTAGAATTCATGGGCCATTGTATCGGGTCCCAGTGGCTTAATGGTCTACGAGCTCGCCTTGTAACCAGAAGGTCCTTGGTTCGAATCCCAGTGGGTGCGTACTGATGAAGAGTCCCAAACTAGGATGGAACAGCTGTCCAGTACTCCCAGGTTTTCCAATGGTTCTCTAACCAATGTCAGCTCATGATGAAATCCTGTAAACATACACTCTTTAACAGATAGCTGGATATTACGTGTTCACCAGAGATAACTTAAGTGTTTGTACATGCAACAAATGGCTTATTTTTCAAATCGTAGTTTATGTTTTTAAGGTAACCTAATCAAAACTGTTGTAGTACACTACTGTATATGAGTTGGATGTTAGAGACGGCGAGTTTCATGCCTCCAACTATCTAATATCATCAAATCAATGTGCACCGTGATGGCGAGCTACCTAGAATGGTGGCCACATTGCAAATACCTGACTGATAGAATTCAGTCTGCATCAAAGAAAGGACTAGACACGTCACACTAGTTACTAGTGTGTTAATGAAAATAGCTATATTCTTTTCAAAGTATGTTGTTCGTTTGGTTTTAGATAAATTTTTCACCCGTTAGGATTGTATTGCTAATTCATTTCGCTGGAAAAGAATAAGGACATTTATGGTAGCACTATTTTCCACTCGGAATCGAAGGAAATAATAGTATAAATCTTATTCATTTTCGCCCAATTAAATTTACCTATGGTTTCTTTGAGAGACTTCGTTTATATTCCTCTATTGTTTTTATACACACTGCTCTAAACTTAATGGCTTTCTGTCAGAAATCAGCCAGTGGTCCAAGGAAAACGGTCTTACCTTAAACCCCTCCAAATGCCAAACAGTCAATTTCACCTTTAGGCATAAATCCGACCTATACAAACTGGTTGGCTCTCATGAGGTGTGCAACATAGATGGCACTGAAATAGAAACCAAGTCGGAAATTAAATACCTAGGCGTCATTCTATCTGCTGATCTTTCCTGGTCGTCTCATATCTTGGCGATTTCTAAGAAAATATTCCGTCTCACCTTCTACATCAAGAAGTTAAGACATTCTGGAATAACCCAACCCTTACTCCTACAATTCGTTAACTCTTGCATTCTGCCTATTATTCTCTATTGTTCCCCCTTAGTTTTTCCAGGGCTACTGAAGAAAGACTATAACATATTACACAGGATGTTAAAGGTTGTCAGCAGGGTAAGCAACGTGCCACTTAACCAGCTTGTTAATATTCTGGTTGACAGGCACATGGACTCATGTGAAAAATGGGCTAAATCCATTTTATCTAACTCACACCACCCTCTTCACTCACAACTCTCCCCTTGCATCTCATCAGGTAAAACCAGAAGCCTATATAGAAAACTATATGCTCGCACCAGCAAGTACAAAAACTCAACCATACCCTACTTAGCTCGTGTTCTGTGTGATAAAGAAAGCATTAGGCGTGACACCTATAATTCATTAAATAGTCAGTAGTACAACTGGACCTCGTCTTTCCAACTCATATCATTTATAGGTACAACATTTTCTTTCTTTCTTTTCCTCTTCTCTCTCTCTTTTTCCGTTATGTGCTGCTTTGTTTCTTTCTCTCGCTTACGCCAGTAAATATGATAGCACCTACTTTTCTAACACCTTCAAACACTGTTCAACTTTGGCTTTGCTACCGACATGCCAATATGTTGTTGTCATAATGAACTGAGATTTCCTTAATCTATGTAGAATTCTATTTATTGATAATGTACTAACTGGATGCAATACTGTAGTAAAAATGCTGAGAATTCCATTCTGTATCACAAGTACTGTTTTGGAATAAAGCAAATTATTATTATTATTATTAAACATGTCTGTTAGCCTAACTTGAATATTATTTCTGTTATCCTTTATCATTTTCAGGTATTATATCTGCCATCTTATTGTTTCTCATTATTTGTATATTAATATTTTTACGCAATCGTATTCGAGTGGCTATTGCAATTTTGAATGAAGCAAGCAAGTAAGTAGTTGGCACAATTTTTTTTTGAATACAACACTGAATAAACGTGCATGTCCTATCAGTTTTTCAATCTTAAATTTAGTTGCAATTAGTTGCCTTAATACATGTCAAGTGATCCACAACGGAAAACTCAGCGAGGCGTTTGGAGTAAACACAGGAGTCAGACAGGGGTGCTGATTATCACCACTGATATTCCTAATTGTGGTGGACTGGATTATGCGTCAGACAGTGGGAAACGAGAAGACAGGGATATCATGGACCGACGTGAAGAATCTAGAAGACTTGGATTTCGCGGGTGATTTATGTTTGATGTCACACAAAATCGAAGACTTACAAGCGAAAACCAACAAACTGGTCGAAGAAGCAGCAAAGACAGGACTCCAAGTAAACATAGACAAGACGCAGGTTACGAAAATAACCAACCAACAACAACAACAGCGACATCCAGCGCCAATCACCATCAACGGGAGAGATTTGAAGGAGGTCACTTCATTCACTTATCTAGGGAGCATTGTCTCAACTACAGGAGGAACGGACGAGGATGTGAAATCGAGAATCGGGAAGGCGAGGAACACATTCATCAACCTGAAACCAATCTGGAAATCTTCATCACTCAACCAGCATCAACAACAAAATTCGGATTTTCAATACAAACGTCAAGTCAGTCACTTCTTCTATACGGATCAGAAACTTGGTGTGTCACAAAGAATATTTCCAACAGCCTGTTGCAGACCTTTATCAACAGCTGTCCTCGCTCTATATTGAAGATCAGATGGTTGGAAAGCATCATCAACAAGAAATTATGGGAACAAAAAAACAAGAACCAATCACTCAACAAATATGCAGGAGAAAGTGGAGATGGATTGGACACTCGCTGAGGATGCCTCTGGGCGACATCGTGCGTCAGGCCAACGCTCGAGTGGGACCCGAAAGGGAAGCGGCGAGTGGGATGTCCAAGGGTGACATGGAGGAGATCGTGTGAAGAGGAGCTGAAACAGTATGGGCTAACATGGATGCAGGTGAAAAGTACGGCAGAAGACAGAAGTAAGTGGAGACATGTAGTTGAAGCCGTATGTTCCACTAGGAACCCAAGGGAATAATAATAATAAGTTGCTTTATTAAATTTCAACAAAACAATAAAAAGAAGACGTTAATATCTCCGAAATGTGTATGTGTGTGTATTTTGGACATTCTGATCACATACGTAGACTTGTCTTACATATTAGAAGGCAATAGAGCATAATGAATCAACGTGTTTACAATCCAGGTCACGATCACAGATGCGAGGTAGGAAAATGAGGTAAGAACAGTTACGTAAGAAATAAATGGGATTAAAATTCTAATAAGTGAAATCAATCTTGGTTCTAAAATCGGGTCACCAAGGCAGGTTCAAAATAGTAACCAATAATTTTTAAACACATAAAGCAGGTTTTAGCCTCAACAGGCTTACGTATATGAGCCAGACCTATTTTATATATGGCACCACTGAAATCAACTTTATCACCTGTTTCTATTGTGTGCTTTGCTAAATATGAGGCAGGAATCCATTGAACTAAGCGATTATATTTGTTCATGCAACCACTTAGGTATGTGTTCTTTAGCCCTGATCTGCAGAGATTGATGAGTCCTTCTTATGTACGTGTGACCACACATCTGTCTGTCTGTTTTCGACATAGAACTTTGCACATATTAGTCTCATGATTTCCAATGAAACTTTATTGTTCTTCGTTATTACTATTCCTTTGTCTCACACCTCTGTTTACTGTCTCTAATATGCATTTCTCCTCCTTTCTTCTCTTGCTTTGTGTGCTACATGGAGTGTGGCGAATTGAACTGCCGCACATATGTGCAAAGTTCTACGTCGAAAACCGACTGACCATTGGAAATCATAAGTCACAAGGAGTGGATGCATCTGCGCCATTGAGAAAGATTTTGAGCCATGTCACCAATTGTTTCCAACCATTGGTTTTTACCGTCCCGAGGACCCCAACCAGGAAGTCTAGACCTTCCTACGTGACTTAGACTAACTGTTGTAGATTTCACTGACTGGTGCCATGTTTTCGTTTGACCACCGCTGGCTCTTTTCCAGCTAACATTGCCTCTTGTCGAGGAAGGCGATGACTAGGCATACGTAACACATGTCCTAACCATCTCAGTCGATGTAATTTCACAGTCTCGTCGACCGATTTCCCACTCTTTACCTAGCACTCGACGCCTAACCTCAATATTACTCACCTTATTAAACCACTTCACACGGGAGATAAAACGCAGTCACCTATGATTGAAGACAGCTAATCTTTTCATGTCTTCCACTCTTAATGGCCAGGTCCCACAGCCATAAAAGAGGACAGAGCGGATTGATGAGCAGTACACACACCCTTTGGTCGATAGTCGGATATCACGTCTACGCCAAAGACGGCGTAAACTGGCATATGCGAAACTAGCCCTCTGTATCCGTGCTGAGATTTCGTCAGAGATCAACCCGTTGGGGCTGATGGTACACACATACATGTCAATTGGTAAAAACAGTGGAATGTGACGTTTCATTAGGATTCTGGGATGGCTTACAGAGGACAACATCAGTCCTTCACTTATTCCATGAAAATGACTGTAGTTGCGCATAGTAAGTTCCGCTGAGTACCACTCTGTGTCTTTGTCTCTTTAATAGACACCTCAGAACGGTAAATTCTCATCAAATAATGTTTCTTAATTAAATCTCGATTGCTATTCTTTTTGTTGTATTGATTTTTTTTTTTTTCTAGAGCAGTTGCAACTATGACCTCTGTATTATTTTGGCCTTTACTTCCATTCATCTTGGAAATGATTGTCATTGTTCAAGTGTTATTTGTTGCCATCTCCCTGCGTACAATAGCTGATCCTGTTGGCACTAAAATGGTTGATGTTGATCCTACTGTCGATCTAAGATTTGAAGATAAGGCTAGAAAAGATATAAAGGAAATATTTCAACTTATTCCATGTGATCCATTAGTAAGTTAATATGTATAGTCTCACTTGTGATATTCTTTGAGACTAGGAAAATGTCTTCAGTACTCGTGTTCAGAATACAGAACTTCGAGAGTGATATCTTCTCTTGCCTAAAGTAAATTAGAAAAATTCACTGAGTTTATTAGTTCTGTTCATCTTTGGATTACATGATATGATTAGTTATCATTTTTGAAAACAAAACACGTAGATCAGCGAAGAGTCTCTTTTTGGCGAATTCATTTTCTTAGCTGTACAACCGCAAATACATATGTTTTATTTTGTATGTATGTGTACATTAAGTTTGTCAAACAAAAATACAATTGGTTAACTAAACAGGTGAAGATTGGTAATTGGAGTTACGTAATACAAAATCAGTCAAGAAAATTAGGTGTTAGTGAAATTAGGGTAGTAACAAAGGTGATGAGTTGTCACAAACAGTTGTTGAAAGAAGTTATGTAATAATATGAATAGTTTGATGAGTGAGTTTTACTCATGGGAACAAAGTAGATAATACGAAATTACGTAGGAGTTCTAAATGAATACAAAAATTATAAGCAATTAAAGAACAGGCAAAGAAACAAAATTAAGTCATCAAAATAAAAAAAATCAAATCAAAAAAGTTGTTACCAAGACAGCAGAAGTGGTTGAGTAATCCTCTTTTGTATGCACAGCTTATTTATTTTTCAAATATCTTTTTGAGTTGTGTACTTTTTAATAGGCTCGTTCATTAATAATCAATACCAAGCATGTTTGTTTTTTTTTTTTCATTGCACACTAGTTACTGATTAGTGTGCAATCAAAAATATCCAATACAGTCCTACAGGAGGTCAGTCGCGAGCCTGAATAGCTCAGTGGTAACGTCTCTGACTGCAGCACTGGGTGACGCGGGTTCGAATCTCAGAAGGGACATGAGTTCCTTCAAGCAGGTTGCAGATACGCCTTGCTGAAGAGTGCCAACTAGCAGGAAACCTAGGTCCAAGGCTTCCTGCCGGTTGCCTCCAACCATCTAATACCAATATTTGTTTGTTCTTTTCTCGTCGATGGTATCTGGCAGTGGGAATCCAGGATGGACATTTCGTCCTATTTAAGACTAGTTAGGTCGATGTAAGCTGCATCCCCAGTGAGTGATGAATGATGTTCCCAGTTAGGCTGGAATTCAGTACCTGTCGTTTCAAACGACATAACGTTATCCACTAGGCCATTTTGTGCAATAAGTATCAGTTTTTATTTGTTTAAGTTAACATTTCAGCGGAGACTGAGCATTTCAGTCCGATATAATCAGTCAACGGGGAATGCAAATTAACTCAAATGAATATTGTGTGTGTATGGTTTTATTCCTTATTTATAAATGTAATATAATATGTATACTTATTGCCCAAGGAAACAAGGTACAGATGGTTAAAAAACTTTGGAAATTTCCTTTCTCTATGGCTTTACAAATTGTCTAACCTAGTCTTGACCTGGCCAACAGCAATAGCAACAACAACAGACTTCAGCCAACATAAATGGGCGAAATCTGAAAGAAGCAACCTCTTTTACCTACCTACCTGGGAAGCATCCTTTCAATTACAGGCGGACGGAAGTGATGAGGATATCAAAGCGGGGAGCGGAAAAGCAAGACAAGCTTTCATTACCCTCAAGTCTGTGTGGAGGTCAACAGCATTCATAAGCATGAAAAATAAGATCCGGATTTTCAACTCCAATGTGAAGTCAGTGCTACTATATGGATCAGAGACTTGGCGTCTCGTCACGAAGGGCACTTCGAACAAACTACAGACCTTCATCAACAGCTGTCTTCGCTCAATACTACTCAAGATCAGATGGCCGGCCAGAAAAGATCAGCAACAGGGATCACTGGGAGCGAACCAACCCAGCAGAAACCAATTGTGCAACAAATATGCAGGAAGAAATGGAGGTGGATTGACCATACTCTGAGAAAACAAACCATCAAGTGACATCACACGCCAGGCTATTGCTCGATTGGAACCCGAATGGGAAGCAGCGAGTAGGTCGTCAATGCGAGGGTGACATGGAGGAGGTGATGTGAAGAGGAGATGAAAGCATGTGGGCAGACGTGGAGCCAGGTGAAAACGTTGGCGGAGAACCGAACGCAATGGAGATGTGTGGCTGAAGCCCTATGTTCCTCTAAGAACTAAAGGAAACAATAATAATATGATAAATAATAACAGTCTTGACTTGTTTAATTGTTATAGAAAATCTTAGTTGTAAAACTTATCACTGAGTAAATGTACTAATCAAATTGTCTGAATGTGACTGGAGTTGTTCCATTTCAGGCTTTTGCTGACGATCAAATATTGTTTTTCATCAAGTGAACTCATCAGTTGGAATGTTGAATGACACCTATAGTGATTGTTTGATTGTTAGAAGATATTCGTTGTTAGACTGCATGATGATAATGATGATGGCTCATTCAATAAAAACATGTCGGAAGTTTGTATTAGGAAATGTGAATGAGTGGTTCAATGGTAGAATGCTTTCCAACCACACACGTAGTCCTTGTTCGCTTCCCGACTGCCGCATTTCTGAACATTGTCTAGTTTAGCTTGGAGAAGGATGGTAGACTGGGCGTCAGACCACAGCAAAACCCCACCTCATAAAAACAGCACCATCGCTACTGAAACTTGAAAAGCTTAAAACCCAAAGTTCCACTTGGAACGTGACGAATGAAAGAGAAGGAAAAAAAAAAAAAATAGGTTATGTATACTTGGTAATTCTCTTGCGATTGTTTAAATCCTTATTACTCATTGCTTTTGTAATTCTGTTACGCGGATCAGATTTCTCATGATCTATGCTATGAGTCACACCTGTTATATGAGTGGGCTGATGGTAGGTACTACTTAGTTGCCATTAATGGCGTCGGTGGCAAAGCGGTTAGGACTTTCGCCGACCATGCACATGGTCTGGAGTTCGATCCCCGGCCGACGCACACCTGATATCAATGGTCGGCCTGCTAAATTTGGGCTACCGATATCACATACTGAAAATTCCATACTTGTACCAAAATACGGTGTGGAATCAAGCTATAATCAAAAAATTTTTTTAATATATGTGAAACGATGCTGGTAAAGCGGTCGGTATTTATTTTGGAATTACCAACCACATTTCGAATAACTTGATTGTTGTAATACCTAAATAGAAATGACAAAGTGACACCATTTGTTCTCCCTTGAACATGGTCTAGTAATATAAGAGTGTGAGTATTGGTGGATTTTCTATTATGAAGGGTATTTTTATATGTGTAGAATGTATAAATTTGACCTTTTGCGGTCGATAAATGTGGACGTACAAAACACCATTTTGGTGACAATAAGTACATATTTTGTGTGACTTTCCAAATATATATAACAATTTTTATAAATGTTGGTTTTTGGTTCAATATGCGTCACCTAATATTGATATTGATAGTCAGCTGATGTAAAAAAGAAAAAAATACAACAGCAAACATTGGTCGTTGAATAACACACTGTCAAGTTTTCTATTCACTTGGTTAATAATATTACTACTAGTTGTCACTAGTGTGTTGATTCTAGTTGATCAGCATTTCTACACTGATGGTGTATTAAATCAGCAGCTGCACCATTTCCTACTCCTAAAATGTTTATCATTTTGGCTTTCGGTCACTAAGACTGGTTGATGAATCAACTCAGAACTTTGCACAAAAGTGAATTTGTTTAATTGCCCCCTTTTGGAGAGGTTGATTGATTGAAGATTATTGAAGTTTTCTGTGGATAGTGAGGAAAACTGTAGAGCCTAATGGTGAAGTTATCGAAAAGACTACTCTTTGTTCAGTATCCACTCTTTTGAAAATTTTAATGAGCATTTTTAATCAGTTAAATATCGTTAGTCAAAATCTTAATGGATGGCAATTGAGGATGAAATAAAACTCTGGGTTCCAGATTTTTAGGCCTGACTAGGTCTCATAGTTCTGGTGGTGAAGCGTGTTGGACCGTGCCAATATGTATTCTTCCCCTCAGGTTCAATTATCAGCTGTTAAATTAATAGTCGTCTGTAACCCCAAGGTTATTGCATATAGTCACACTATGAATTAAAATTTCCTAATGCAAATCGCAACCTCGCCTAGTTAACTAGACCGCTAGTTCTTTAGCCGGTTCCAAGTCCGGGTAAAGAGGGAGGGTTGGGTGTGGAGCTAGCGACCCTACCCGAGAAAATCAATCACGCACAGAAACTTCAGTGCACAACAAAAATACAAAAATTAAAAAATATTCTTCGCTGAAATCGAAGAGGCGAAATGACACAGTGGGCTGGTGAAAGCCTTCAAGAAGCCAGTCAGTTAGCCGATGTGTCTTCTGTCTCTCTATGAAAGCAAGAATAAGAATGGGGACGTAGAATGTCGGTACAATGTACGAGACTGGGAAGGCTGCCCAGGTGGCCGAAGAAATCAGGAGATATGGTATAGAAGTGCTGGGAATCTGCGATAGCAGGTGGAATGTGTGTGGATTGTCAAAATTGTCAACTGGTGAGTCAGTAATCCGCTCCGGTCACCTAGACAACAACCACGAGCACACTGAGGCAATGAGTGGCTATAATGATGTCACCAGTGGCAGCCAAAGCCCTAATGCAGTGGGAATCAATTTCATCCAGGATTATGATAGCAAGATTCAACTCAAAAGGAAGGCTGTGAGGTTAAAATTATCCGCTGTTACAAATAACGCTGAACAACAGAAGAAGGAAGATGTTTATAGGCAACTAGAAACAGTAATGTACAATAACCCGAATAGCGACGAGTGAGTCGTCCGAGGGTTACATGAAGGAGATCATGCGAGGTGGAGTTGAGAGAATACGAGCAATCGTGGACCTAGCTGAAGAGGACGGAGGAAAATAGAGGAAAGTGAAGATTTGTTGTTGAAGCCCTGTGTTCCACTCAGAACCCAAGTGAATAATAATAAATAATAATAATGCATATAGAAAATCAAAACAAATGATTCAGCGAAGAGGCTCTTTTCAACGAATTTATCATCAAGCTGTACAACCGTATATATATGGTTTTTCAGATATAACTTCTTAAAAACCATATATACATGATTGTACAGCTTGGTGATAAATTCGTTGAAAAGAGTCTCTTCGCTGAATCATTTGTTTTGATTTTCTAAACGTTACAATGGGAATTTTCTATGATTTAAAAAATAATGCATATCACTAGTGCCGTATACCTTTTCTAATTAAGCTTCTTTCTCTCTTCTCTGTTATAGTTAAACAATTCTGCTGGCAAAGCCTGTCGCTTTCTCTATTATGGTGATAGAAAGTAAGTGGATTTTTCGTCATTCGTATGAGCAGTACTTGTGACAGTAACAGCTTAACTGATGTATATGTAAAAAAAGATTAAATTAAATGCTATCACAGTTATTGTTTTCATCAATTACAACATACGCCTTCATTTTTTTATACACTTTCGTACTGTTTTCCTTAACGTCGTCGTTAATTCCTGTCTTCCGATGTGACGTCTGAGTGTTGAGAAGAAAATATTCTTTTATAACGCTATAATCGTTAACCTTTCATTAACATTGTCTGTCTTTCACTCATATGTCTGGGCACTCGACTTCCAGTCAGTGGTGGGTCACTGGTTCGAACCCTTCTCCGCCTATCGAGGTTTACACAGCTAAGTAATATAACTAACCCTCATACAATAGATGTGGCTCATCGCCACCTGTATGAAATTACAGGTGGTTGTTCAGTTGAGACTGTTGTAACTATACATTGGTGTTCCAATAGTAGAATGTCCGCCAACCACGCATGATGTTCAGGTTCAACTCCCAGCTGGCGCACTTCTAAACCTCAGTGTTAGCCTGTAGTAAGCTCAATAAAGAAGGAAGGTTGGGTGTGAGGCTAGTCACCCTACCGCTACTGAACCTCCAGAGCTCCAGTTTTAAGCCCTATATTCCATTCAGAACGCAAAGGAATGCACTGTTGTAACTATCGTGATTTCGACATGGATCAATGATTACAATTTAAAATAGATTAAAAGTTGTAGAATTCAGGTATTTGTGGACAATTTAAATATCCCCATTGTTTGTCAGTTTGTAAAAGTCTCAAGCTTGATGAGTTTCTAGTATTGATTTATCATATAACTGCACTGAGCATCCCATTTCTCATTATTTCAAATAATAATTGTATACTATCCTCTTTAAATTTTCTAATGTCATCCTTATATCATTACTTCCATCTTCATTGTAGATACACTATCTATCTACAATTGTTCAACCTCTTCATGTTCTTTTGGTTAGTCAATTTTGTCCGGTCACTTACTCAGATGACTTTAGCTGGAACATTTGCTGAGTACTATTTTTCACGTCTTGATCAAAAATCAATGTCAAATTGTCCACTTTTAACAAGTTTCTTCCGATCAGCTTTCTATCATATCGGTTCATTGGCGTTGGGATCATTTCTAATCGCTTTGTTACAATGGCTTCGTGCTGTACTTGAATATCTCAGTACGAAATTAAAAAAATCAGATAATCCTATAGCGAAATTTTTCATCAAATGTTTATGTTGTTGCTTTTGGCTACTTGAAAATTTTCTACGACTTCTCAATCGAAATGCTTTTATTATGGTAAGTATTTTTTTTTCACCTTCAATTGTTTTTTTGGTTCCTTTATTGACTTTAAAGTTGGTGGCAGTTTCTACTTGAAATCTCAGGGGGGAATACGGAGATACGCTGACACCCATGATTGTGCTTTTTCTCAAGTTTTTGTAGAAGCTTACGAATCAGCAGGCTGCAAATATTTTAAAGTACTCGCCAGTTAAAGGTCATATTTTACTAGATTAAAACAAAGTGGACAAGAGAAATTATAGGCAGTTAACTTTTAATGCAGGCACTGTCTGTTAGAGAGAGAGAAATGCTCACTGACTTTAACTTTTTGAGGTCTGTCAGTTTGCATAGGTTTATTCAGTTTTATTCATCACTGTATCGTCATTTGCATTTTCATTTTTTTTAAAAAGGCCCATTTTATTTTACCGTATTTGCTATACTACTTTATTTTTCAAGTATTGGTTTTGTAGGGATTTGTTTGACTGGATGGAGGACTTTATCATGAGCTGACATCAGTTAGAGAGCCACTGGAAAACCTGGGAGTACTGGACAGCTATTTCGTCCTAGTTTGGGACTCTTCAGTAGTACGCAGTGGTTCTCTAACTGATGTCAGCTCATGATGAAAACCTCCATCCAATCAAACAAAATCCCTACAAAAACCAATACTTGAAAATTAATCTGATGCTCACTAGCGACTGGTCCTATTCAGGCAGTTAACCTGAGGTTCTAGTGAGAAGCCGTGACCAGCAGGTTGAAGATGAGGCAGTAACTCATCGAAGAAGACATTGCGAAATGGTCGCGCTATGTCGTGAATTGGTAGAAGTTAGAATTTAAGGACCATTGGATCGGGTCCCAGTGACTCAATGGTCTTAGAGCTCGCCTTGTAACCAGAAGGTCCTGGGTTCGAACTCCGGTGGGTGCGTGCTGATGAAGAGTCTCAGTTTAGGACGAAACAGCCGTCCAGTACTCCCAGGTCTTCCAGTGGTTCTCTCACTGATGTCAGCTAATGATGAAATCCTCCATCCAACTACTTTATTTGTGATTGATGCATTTCTTAGCTTATCTTTTTCGATATATATGTGGCTTTAGTGTTATACTTTCGACATATATATAAAGTCAGATTTTATTTTAGCTTAGTTAATCGAATAATTATGACTTAAGAATTTTTTAATTCATGGAAAATTCCCATTGTAACATGTAGAAAATCAAAAACAGAGTGATTCAGCGAAGAGACTCTTTTCAACGAATTTATTATCAAGCTGTTTTTTAATCCTTCACGTTTTCCAGTAGAACATAGGGCTTCAAGCTAGTGGCTTGAAGTTTCTGTGGCAGTACTTATTTATAGGATGGGGTTGCTAGCCTCATGCCCAACCTTTCCGCTTCACCAGCATCATTTCTGGCTTAGTGAGGTAAAGGAGTGCGTCGGCCGAGGATCGAACCCCGGATCATGTGCATGGTCGGCAAGCGTCCTAACCGCTATGCCACCGACGCCAATCAAGCTGTACAATCGTATATTTATGGTTTTTCAAGAAACTATATCAGGTGAGGGAATTGAATCATAGGTGTGAATGCATAAAATAGTAATAATAGTATGAAATGGAATTAAAACTGAAATTAGTTAGAGAACCACTAGAAAACCTGGGAGTACTAGGCAGCTGTTTCGTCCTAGTTAGGGACTCTTCGGCAGTAAGCAACCACCGGGGTTCGAACCCAAAAATTTTTAGTTACAAGGCGAGCTCGTAGACCATTGAGCCACTGAGACTCGATCCAATGGTCCTTGAATTCTAACTTCTGCCAATTCACGACATATAGCGACCATTTAGCAATGTCTTCTTCGATGAGTTACTGCCTCGTGATGAAATCCTCCATGCAATCAAACAAAATCCCTACAAAACCATTACTTTAAAACTAAAATGTTTGTGACCAGTGAGGTCCATCCAGATATCACGTGTGAGGATGGATGTTGCATGAACGACATTGGTTGGGGTCGCGCTAAATCACAAATTGGTAGAAGTTAGAATTCATGCATTGGCCATTGAATCGGGTCCCAGTGTCTGAATGGTATACGAGCTTACCTTGTAACCGGAAGGTCCTGAGTTCGAACCCTGGTGGTGGGTGCGTACTGCAGATGATTCCCAAACTAGGCTGATGAGACAGCTGTCCAGTACTCTCTGGTTTTCAGTGGTTCTCTAACTGATATCAATCTGGGATCAACTCGTAAAAAAATGGTAGTCGTAGTTAAATGTCAAGTGGCAAAACAATTAATGAAATACACAGAATAATTCATAGGATGGTTAGAACTTGGAAAGGGTGTGAAATTATGGGATTAGTAGACAAATCGAATAAAATATAAACGTTATGTAATATTGTGTGAAATTTGATAACATAGAATTTAATGTTGCAAAACAGAATTGATTTAGAATGACATGTGGAACAAGTGAAATAATACCGGGGACAGTTCATAGTGAGAATAGTAATAGTAACAATTAACGACGTAATAAAGGAGGTGTATACAAACTGAATAAACTAAACGAATAATAATTAGAACCAAACAACGATTGGAGACAACCATACTTAAGCGTAGACGGATTGAGACCATGGAAGTTGGAGGGGTTGAACGAACTTTTTCTGTATACAGAGATCTGGTTTTTCTGTTTCGATGTCCAAAGCTTCAGCAATAGAGATGAGCAGGATACATAGTAATTTGGGCAAATTACTTTTCCCCTTGTAGATGACTTTAAAGGCGGAGGCTGTAAAGATAAGGTGGTCATTATCGATCGGATATTCAATGATCGCACTTCTTATTGCTCCACTTCCACCTCTTTGTAACGATGCAGCTTAGTGTTCTTGCACCTTCTTGGACAAAACTCAAGTCGAACGACCGATATACCTAGCTCCACACGACCAGGTGAATCGATAAACGCACATAGAGTTGGTCAACAGCGGGATCTTGTCCTTCAGGTTATTGAACAGTAATGGTCGACTGGTAAAGGCTATTGTCAGAGATGCAGCAGGGAATGTTCTTTTCAGGGACTGTGATATCCTTTTCATGGTATCGGAAGCTAAGTCACCCTTGAATTCCAAGCTTTTGTACAGTATTTTCTTGGGTGCGGATGACAAGTCACGTTTCATAGGATTTGAATGTATATTCTTGTCTATAGAATGTGGTGGAAATCCATTTTCTATTAGGATTTTCCTCAAAAGATTTAACTCATCCTCCACAGTTATAAACAGAAGCATTTTAGTTTTAATTGCATTTCATATTATTATTATTATTTTATGCATTCACACCTATGATTCAATTCCGTCACCTGATATAATTTTTTTAAACCATATATATACGATTGTACAGCTTGATAATAAATTCGTTGAAAAGAGTCTCTTCGCTGAATCACTTGTTTTGATTTAAGAATTTGTTTTTGTTTTCTTCAAAATAACCAAAGTTCATTTAATTCTATCTTTAGTAAAGAATATGAAATGAATTTTTAAATATTCTGTTACTCTTTTATTGTTAATGTTGAAATTTTATGATGTGCTAACATTGTTACTATGTTTCTAGACTTATCTCGTATTAGATCTTCTTAAGCCTTTATTCTAATGTAAATAGATTTATGTATAAAAATTTTAACCGATGACGGTGAGTTTGTGGATCAAATAATAATGATGATGACGATGTGGTAGATGTTTTGGATGTTAGTAATAACAAAGATTATAATGATAACAAAATAATGATAATGAGGTTTATACACGGGGCAATAAGAATAACGAAGGTAGGAATATGTGTATACTCAGAGGGCTTTATCCATGCGCGCGCGTGAACATGTACCTGTATGGTTGAGTAAAGGAGTAACCAAATGTGTTAATAGTGCAGTCTTAGCCCACTTGGTAGATACTGGACACCAGATAAAACTTGACCAGGCGTTCTCAGTTATTTACCGCGTTCCTAGTAATTTATCTAAAGGAGCTCGACTACGTCTTCTATCAGTGGCTGAAGCGGTTGCAATTAATACCAGAAGACCATCTCTTTGCATACAGAAGAAGTATGTTCAACCACTATGTTTACCTTGGCCTACAATAAAACCAACAAATCCTCCATTAACACTATAAATTCCTTTCACACTTTTCTTTTCTTCTTCTTCTATTCCTCTGTTTCATTGACAAACGTTCAGTTCCGACTTTTATGATTTCATGACCTTTCATATGATTTTATTACCTTAGGTTTAAGTAGTGCTTTTCTAACTTGCTATCGCATTTACAAAATCCTGTTCATTCCACTTCATTATATTCATTATTATTATTTGACAGTCATTCACCAATAGTGCTTGTAATTTTACACCATATCATCGTTATTATTTTACAATCATTCTTACTGTCGTTATTTTCAACCTTGAACTTATGTCTAGTCCGCCTCATTCGTTGGTCTATTTTCATATTGTCTCACACACCCTGATTACACACACTCTCGAAACTTGTATTTTCTGTTGACTATATTTATATATAAACACACATCATTAAATTAATTTACTTCATCTCATTTTGTCACATGTTCTCATTGACCATGCATATTAAAAAACTAACTGACTATTGTTCCATCCCTTCTTATACTTGCTCCACAATACACTTTCTGATATGATTCCAATTTACCTTTACTGGTTATTGTATGCTTAAATTAATGGATTTATAATTGTAGAGCCTGAAGAAGAATTTATTGAAAACAATTGTTCGCTCTAAATATTTTGTTCTGAATAAATTGTGGGAATATTCAATTTATGTGTATATGTAGATGATTCAATAAATAAATTAGATCAAATCTTAAAAGTTACGTAATACTAAAGATGAAGTGGACAGATAATCAGACTTTAAATATATAACATAAAAATACGAAGGAGATGGAAAATAAGGAAGGGTTGGAGGGTTTTAATTAGACTTTACCTAGGCCAAGGGAGAGACAAAGGTAGAACAAACTTCCATTGTATGCAAAGACACTAGGATTGTTCTCTCGAATTCCCATAGCTGTGGCTATGTGTAAAAGGTGAGTTCGAATCTCGCTCAAAAGGTTCAATGGAATGCGATAGATCACGTTGAAGGCTCCTTTTTTGTCCACTTGGTGACCACTGTCAATCAAATGAGACAAAGTAGAACTTCTTATAGATTTTATTTGGCCTTTTCCGAACCATGAAGAAAGATGCTCATTAATACGTTTGTTAAGCTGTCTAGTTGTTAGCCCTATACATCTGTCTCCTCAGGAGCAGATAAATTTATAGATACACATAGAAGTGGCATCTTGTCTTTTGCTTCAGCAATCATAATTGGTTGGCTGAAAAGTGACAAACAAAGGGTGGCGTCAGTAGAAGTCCGTTTTATTGCTGTCGATAATCTTAGATGTAGGACTTCACTAGCCTCGTCCCCTTCAAATTGCAATATTAGGAAAAGTTGTTTCTTACTAACTGTTGTCAGTTTCTCTTTATTATACCTGGTGTTCATGTGTCTCCTTGCAAATTTACTAGGATGACCCATTTGGACCAGTGTATTTTGGATGTATCCTAATTCATTTTCTAGGGAGTCAATCATCTGCACATTTCCATCTCGCTCTATTCGTGAGGCATCTGACCAAATTGATTTTGTATCGGATTGGTGAAAAACTGAGGAAATGTTTATATTGTCCTGCAGATGTAGGTTTTCTACAGATATCTCTCTTGAGTGAGACATCCTCTTTTCTCCTCAATTGGACATCAAGGAATTGTAGTCTACCATCATTTTTTTCTTCGCAAGTGAAGATGAGCGATGGATGTGCATCATTAAATTTTATTAACATTTCATTCTTGTCAGCTTTCTCATCAGCAATAATGAAAGTATCATCAACATAACGATAATAAGATCCCCTTTATTGTTATCCATTAATTCAATTCCCTGAACTCTGATACTGTAGTCTGTTAACCATATTAATTCAAATGCCTATGAATAATATTTCATTACGTAAATGTAAATAAAGCCTCATGGGAATTTACCGGAAATACGTATTTGCTTAAATCATGTTCCATAAGAATCCACTTTATCTGTTACTTGTATCAATGGACCGTTTTTAAGCTTAGTAAGAAAGAAATCTACCGAAATTGGAACCAATGGAGAACCCATGGCAATGCCGTCGATTTGTCTGTAATAAAGGTTGTTGAATGTGAAGTGTGCATTCATAGTACATCTTAAAAAGAACTCTCTCAGACTAATAAGTGGAATTCCGATGTCGAACTACTTTTTTAGTATTTGTTGGTGTATGAATTCCACAGTCACCATGAGTGGTACATTGGTGAACAGTGATGCAACATCTAAGGATAGCATTTGCTTCCCATTTGCATTGATATCATTTTACTTTGGAAATGAATACAAAGGCGTCTTTAAAAATATAATTTACCATATTCTTGTGTGTAACGGTTGGAGGAGGTCACCTAGCCACTTTGCCACTGCATGATAGGTGCAATTAGACATGTCTAGGACTGCGTGAAGAGGATCTTCTTTCATGGTTCGGAAAAGACCAAATAAAATCTATAAGAAGTTCTATTTTGGCTCTTTTGCTTGATAGCGGTCACCAGGTGGACAGAAGAAATGCTTTCGAAGTTATCTATCGCATTCCATCGAGCCTTATAAACGGAATTCGAACCCACTTTTCACACATAGTCAAAGCTATGCGAATTCGAGAGAACAATCCTCGTCTTTTCATGCAAAAGAAGTTTGTTCTGCTTTTGCCTCTCCCTTCTCCTAGATGAATTGTAATCAAAACCCTTCCACCCTTTCTTGTATTTATATAAGTGTCTCCCAGTTTTTGTGATGAACACTTGCCTAACTATTTTTTAAAAAGATTTATCAGATACAATTGTTGCTTAACAGCGACTAATAGTAGATATCAACCGTCACCAGAGATTCATAAGAGAGAGAGAGAGATAAACAGAAATGTGAGAGAAAAAGAATAGTAATATGTAAGAACAGTAGGGTTCTATCGGATGTGATAAATCACAAAGAGTGAATGCATCTGCGCCAGCCATGAAAACGATTTTGAACCATATCACCGATTGTCTCCAGCAACCATTGGTTTTTACCACCCCGCGGACCCCAAACAGCCCAGAAGTCTACACCTCCCCACGTGGCCGGCTTAAACTAACTGTGATGGATTTCATTGGCTGATGAAGCTATGTTTTAGTTTGACCACCATTAGCTAATTCTTTTCTAACGTGATTCTATGTCAGTCAGCTTACATTGCCCGTCGAAGAAGGCGATGGCTAGGCATGCGTAACACATATCCTAACCATCTCAATCGATATAACTTTACAACCTCGTCGATTGATTTTCCCTCCTTGCCTAGCACCCGACGTCTAGACTCACTATTACCCACTCTATTATACCATCTAACAAATAAGAGTCCTAAATTATGGACCTATGTATTGTGTGTTATACAACTATCTGGTCGGTCATGAAGCATAGACTTCCAAACGTGATTTTATCTGTCTAGTAACTGTTATTGTTTGACGGTTTTAAGATAAAGTTGGTATTTGTAACCTATTCACCTTCACTTGTTAAATCTGTCAATTCACAATGTCATGTCTTAATATGTATTTGCCGTATCATTTGTCGGTTTTCAATAAACGACATAGTGAAATGGGTAAATAATAATATTGAGTTTTGTATTGCTTTTCTAGAAGTGGTGTATACAAGAGTCTGGCATATACACGTCTCTCTGTCTACTTAGGTGAAAATTGCATATATCACAGAGTGCAAAGCAAAGCTTATCTTGTCAACTTCGTTGGGCATGTCGAAGTTGTTATGTGTCACTTATGACAAGTGCTTTTAATATTTGTTTTTGCACAATTATTATTTAGATATTAATGCAGATGAATCTGTGTATAACTGATGTGCGCAAACCAAAGTAATTGTTTATTTTGATAATAACTAATTTAACTATCATGTCGTATAACAGTGGTTTTACGAATGGCGTTGATTAATGTAGATAATTAGTGTCTGCTTATTCTACAATCTGGAAAATCATATCGATTAAGATTTCTGATCAGTGACTTGTCACGTGGTCGTCAGTTGTATTATTAGTGATCCTAAGTAAGGTTCCTCTTTTGTTTTTTTGGTCGATAGTTGGGGATTCTTTCAAATACTTTCATCGTAGAATAATTTTATTTGATGGAAACACAGTTATATATATTATATTGTTATTTTCTTGAGTTTCGACTGGAAAGTAGAACTTCGACAGGATGTCTACATTTCGCCCTGTCCTCCACAGTCTTCTGTAGCTGCTTCCACGATAGCCCATGTGCTCTCAACTACTACTCACACGATCTTCTCTGTTTCACCCTCGGACCCATACGCAAGTCGTCGTTCCCAATACGGATCCCAGTTGAACGGCTGGCCTATGTCCTCATAGTGTATCCGATCACTATATAATGCTGTATCACTGTGTGCTTTTATCAAATAAAATTATTTTAGGGAAAATATAGATGACAACACATTGCATCCTATGTCAACTATTATAATTTCTTTTTTCCTGAACCACTTATTATAACTCTATGAGGTCTCATTTATGAACTGTAGAAAGTTTTCACCTATATTCCTGATAACCATAATAATAATATCTATTACTTTCTGTTTCTTGTCCCCTCTTAGATCGCTATCTATGGTCAAGGTTTTTGTTCTGCATCTCGTTCAGCACTGTCTTTACTATCACGCAATGTAATCAGGTACTTTTAAAATATAAAATTTTATTTACTTTTTTTAAAATATAAAAGTTATACGTAAAACGGCATGTTGCCAGATTTAGTTTAGTGTATGTGGAAATCTGCTTCGATTTGATCTACTTTTGATATATATATATATATATATATATATATATATATATAATATGTGTGTGTACCCCTCTCCTCGTCTCCAAGGGATTGTCGTCAATTTACGTGAGGCACAACATATTGCTTCCTCTTATCCTTTATTCACATGTTTTATGATTTTGTTTATATTTCGTGTCAATCATGTACAACTGTGTGGTGTACAATAGTACTTCTAATGAAACAGCAGTAGTACACTGTTCCTACTTTGCACTCTTATATTTCAGAAATTCACTTTTTATTTTATTTTTAACTTGTTTTCTTCAGCTGTTAATATTCTTTGAAAACTGATGGGTTACTTTGAGTATGTTTCAGATTCGATATTCCTATATATTGGTTTGTGTCAATCACATACATTTTGGATGGTGATAGATGTATTTATTAGGATTATTATTTGTTTCCACAGCATATATGTATAGTCTATTTTATCTGCTTATTATTATTGTTTCCTTTAGTTCCTGGAGGAATATAGGGCATCAGCCGCACGTCTACATTGCGTTCGGTTCTCCATCAACGTTTTCACGTTGTTCCAAATCTGCCCACATACTTTCATCTCGTCTTCATATCACCTCCTCTATGTCATCCTCTCACTGACGACCAGTTCGCCGCTCCCCATTCGGGCTCCATTCGAGGGGTGACCTGGCGTGTGATGTCACTTGATGGTTTGCTCTCTGGGAGGATCCACCTCCATTTCTTCCTGCATATTTGTTGCACAATTGGTTCCTGCTGGGTTGGTTCGTTCATTGTTAGAGATCTTTGTTGCTGGTCTTTTCTGGTCGGCCATCGGATCTTCAGTAGTATTGAGCGAAGATAGCTGTTGATGAAGGTCTGTAGCTTGTTCAAAGTGCTCTTCGTGACGCGATGCTAGGTCTCTGATCCGAATAGTAGCACTGACTTCACATTGGATTTGAAAATCCGGATCTTATTTTTCATGCTGAGGAGTGCTGTCGATCTCCACACAGACTTGAGAGTAATGAAAGCTTGCCTTGCTTTTTCCCTCCTCGCTTTGATATCCTCATCAGTCCCGTCCGCCAATAGTTGAAAGGATGCTTCCCAGATAGGTAGGTAGGTAAAGAAAGTTGCTTCTTTCAAATTTCTCCCATTTATGCTGACTGTTGTTGGTGTTGCTGTTGGCCAGGAATCTTCATCACCTCTGTTTTCTCTATGTTCACCTGAAGGCATATCTTCCCTGGATGTTTCTTCTGTCAACTTGTTGCTTTTCACTTGTATATCTTCCAATTTGTGGGAAATCAGATAAATATCGGCGAAGTCCAGATCCTCCAATGTTTTTTGTTTGGGTCCATTTTATCTGCTTATTGATGTTGTTTACTTTGAAGACCAGTATATACTGTTGAATACCTTTGAGATTTAGCTTTACTATTTGCATATTGCAGACTTTTTCATGTCGAAGCTAGAAAACACACATCTAGAGAAAATGATTAACAACTTTGGGTTTTACAAGAGGTACGTGGAGGATATTTTATCATTATCTCCAACGATGAGGAGAATTTGAAGAACTGCCATCCAGCAATTCAGTTCACACTAGATAGGTGATCCGACACACAAATATCTTTTCTGGACTTCCAATAAACAAAACGTGAACAAGGTGGAACACTAAAAAGATCCATTTACAAGAAACCAACATTGAACGGTTAACTCACTCACTTTCACAGTTGGTTGCCCCTATATATAAAAAGAAACTTGATCCGTTCACTAAGCCACAAAATCCGCAGAATTTGCAGCCCTGATACTGTAGAAGAGAGGAGCTAAGCACTCTGATAAGAATCCTTCTCGAAAATGCTTACCCAGAACGTTTCATCACTAAATCTATGAAACCTAAATCAGTAAAACTGCCTACACTTTCTGCTCTCCAAAAGCGTCTCTACCTGAATCTGCACTGCAATAGAAACTCATCGGTAGAAATATTGAGAAAATGGCTGTGCTGCTCACTGAAAAAACCTTCTTCGCGGCTAAACTCCGACTAACCTTCTCTACTAAACCAATGATTGACTGTCGGCCTCATCAATGTGCATCTACTAATTTACCTTCTCGTGTTGAGTTAGGTATGTCGGCCGTACCTAGCGTTTACTATCCAGAAGTATCATCGAACACTTATCTACTTTCATGGTTTTCCTAAAGAGAAAAAAAGGTTCCCCCGAGTCTGTATTCTGGGACACCTGATTGAATCTGGACACCAAGCAAATCCACAAAGTAACTTTAAAGTCACCTACAAAATACGCGGATATCTTACTAAAAGAGTACGAATCAAGCTTCTGCACACCTCAGAATCAATGGTGATTTACATGTTGAATCCTGAACTCTGCATACAAAAGAAGTTTGTTCAGTCATTAAATCTACAATGGACCTGATCTTTCTTAACACCAAATACGTAATTTTTGTTTCTTAATTGTATTATTTTCTTCCCTCACCTCTGATTAAATCTCTATCCCTTATTACCACTTTTGTTAACTTGACTTTCGTTCAATTTTAATTTTAGTTGAGCTCTACTCAACCCCATCAATTAGATTACGTCACTCAATTTGCTTATTTAATCTTATTTTAGTTTCTAATCAATTAACGAAATTTGTTATCTAAAGTTTGCATTTCTAATGACAAATCTATGGAAATATTTATTTTGTTGCTAAGACAGTTTACAATATATATATATATATGCGATTGTACAGCTTGAGAATAATATCGCTGAAAAGAGTAACTCTTCGTTGAACGCCTTTTCTTTTATATTGACTCAATGGAACTTTTAAGCTTTATTTTATTTATTTATTCATTTTTAATTTTATTCCTTTACTTTCCCAGTGGAACATAGGGCTTCAAGCTAAAGCTTACAAGTTTCGGTACCAGTGGTGTTTATTTTTTACGGGATGGAGTTGATAGCTTCATGCCCAACCTACCTTCTTTGCTAGCCTTAATACTGGTTTGAATGCGTTGGTGGCCGGGGATCGAACCATGGATCACATGAGGCGTGTTTGGCGAGCATTCTACTGCTGTGTCATCGACGCACTTGCATAAATCAATTTCACAATTTACAGACACAGTTCGACAAGGTGGAATTTCACCACAGTTTCCTTTTGGTAACCGAAATTATTCAGATCACAATCCCATTAAATGACAATCAACAAAGCCAAGCATTAATGCATGATTGACAATACTTGCTAGCCAGATCGAAGTGATCTCAACGCAAGTGGTAGTCACATCGCTCCTTTAGAGCTGAGTTCATCAATGGTGTACCACCACCCGGTTTAGGTCAGCTCAGAGAGTCGAATCAGTTTAAACTGTGATGAAATTTCACCTGGAACTGTGTAAGCTGCAAATTACGAGTTCATCCTAGTTGCTAACTAGGATTCGAGTGCTGTGAATTGAATCAGCTCTCTTGGCCCCAAACCAACGGCACTGCCTTCCAATGCTTACTTCGTCACTTCGATTTTGATTGACCAAGCATTGCTACTGGCTGATGTGAATGGTATACATCTACTCAGTAGTGCATGACGTCATGAATACGCGTTTTTCGTATTGTTTATATTGGATATACTTTAGCATAATCATAAGAAATCACAGCTAGTTTTTAAGTGATATCGTATAAAGGTTACCCTTTCATATATATCACGGGATTTTCTTACGATTAGTTTTTTCCCATTCTTATTTGTACTTTTTTTTGTTTTATACACGTTACATAGCATATAGTGAAGACAGCCATAGACCGGTTTGTTTGAATGTAGACAAAACAAACTGTGTTTGGTAATGTTCTTTCTTTTTTTTATGACGTCACTCGATATTTGTTAACGCAACTAACTAGCTATGATTCTTCTATCGACAGAGATTAATCCGTTAGAATTATCTTCCTTGTGACGTCATTTGAATATTGATAATGGCTGAGGAGAAGATGAAAGCATCAAGCGAACTGTGTATATTCATGAGAATATAACAAGAGGGTGAGAAAGTTCTAAAACTATTCCTTACCATAAGTCATAGTAAGAATACAGTATAACAATAACAAAAGCGTCGGTGGCACATCGGTAGAATGCTCGCCAACCACGCCTCATGTGGTTCGGTGTTCGATCCCCGACCGATGCGCTCCTACACCCCGCACTGGTAAAGAGGGAAGGTTGGACATGGGGCTAGCAACCTCATCCCGTAAAAAATAAACACCACTGGTACCGAAACTTCTAAGCTTTAGCTTGTATCCCTATGTTCCACTGGGGACGTAAAAAGGCATAAAAAAGTAAAATATAGCGAAAATATTCATTCAGACACAAAATAATTGAGCAAAGAATATCGTTTTCGATAGTTTCCTCTTCTGGCTCTACAATTATATATATATATATATATGTTCATACACATAGAACATTCTAGATTAGTAGTCAACAACAATATTAATAACAAAATTAAAGAAATTTCTACAAAAAATTGAGGATCATTCGAACCTAGATGGCCAAGGTAAGGACAATGTCTGAATTAGCTTCTTTTGGACGCACAAATTGGGCTTCTTAATCTGGATCCCAACAGCCTCAGCAATATTTAGTAATTGAACTCCTAAGGCGAAATTGAGATTTGTTGGTATGCGGTAAATGACCCTGAAAGCCTGGTTAACATCAATCTTGTGTATCAATCTGTATCCACAAGATGAGATAGAATAGCGCTACGAATAGATTTTGTTTGTCCTTTACTTAACCACTAAGCAGGGTGATGTTCGGAAATTCGACGAGAAACACGTCTAAGTATACGGTCTATGTAACTGGTTCCACAGGAGCAGTTAAATTGGTAGATACACATGGACGAATTTTCGTATAAAAAAGGCAAAATTGAATGATCGATGTATTTCTTGAGAAATTAAACTCTTTATGATGGCCATGGTGAAGACAATTGTCGGACGTACTTCTTTGAGATACATAATTTTAGTTTGAATTTCTAGTTAGCTAATGCTTTAGTTGTCTTGATTTCACTCGTTTTAAAAGGTTTGAACGGTTTGAATTTCTCAACAACAACAAAAAATGCTGAGTGCTTTGTGTTGACGAGATGCTCTCTATATAGACACAGTTCTGTTATCAGTTTGCTAGCCTGGGTGGTGGATAGTGTTCCACGTTGTTTCTTTCCTAAGACTGTTGTTTTCACGATCGACCCGTCATCTATACATATTTTTTGGATTTCAAGTGATGCATACTTCTGACTAATAATAGTGGTTCTTTAACTGATATCAGCTCATGATGAAATCCTCCATCCAGGCAAACAAGGATCCCTACAAAACCAATACTTGAAAATTAATCTGATGCTCACTAGCGACTGGCCTTATTCAGGCAGTTAACCTGGAGTTTTAGTGGGAAGTCGTGACCAGTAGGGTATAAAAGGTTAAAGGTGAGGCAGTAATCCATCGAATAAGACATTAAGAAGTGGTCGCGCTATGTGATGAATTGATTATTATTATTATTATTGTTCCCTTGGGTTCCTAGTGGAACATAGGGCTTCAACTGCACGCCTCCAATTGTTTCTGTCTTCTGCTGTATTTTTCACTTGCATCCATGTTAGTCCATACTGTTTCAACTCTTCTTCACACGATCTCCTCCATGTCACCCTTGGACGTCCCACTCGTCGCTTCCTTTTTGGGTTCTACTCGAGGGCGTGACGCGCGATGTCACCCAACGGCCTCCTCAGCGAGTGTCCAATCCATCCCCACTTTCTCCTGCATATTTGTTGGGCGACTGGTTCTTGTCATGAATTGACAAGAGTTAGAATTCATGGACTAGCCTTTGGATCGGGTCCCGGTGGCTCAGTGGTCTACTAGATGGCCTTGTAGCCAGGAAGTCCTGGGTTCGAACCCCGCAGTGTGGGTGCGCACTACTGAAGAGTCCCAAACTGGGACGAAACAGCGGTCCAGTACTCCAGGTTTTCCAATGGTTCTCTAATTGATGATGAAATCCTCCATCCAATAAAAAAAATCCCTACAAAACCAATACTTGAAAATAGTAATAATAGTTGATAACTACTTATATCGAGGAATAATACTCAGAAATTAATATCTAACCACACGAACAAGGTAGATAGTGTGCCTGCCTGAGTTAAAGGAACCCGAGTACATCGTCGTAAATGAGCTATGAAGGTGTGTGTGTGTGTATGGCTTTGAAATTCTCATTTTCAAAAGAATTTGCAATAAAGCATTCCTACTGACGTTTAGGATACGTGAACACTCACTCTGATTTATTAGAACAAGACGCATATAGGCGAACAATATTGTTTTCATTTAGATCTTCTTCAGGCTTTACTCTAATTTACATAGATTTATGTGTAAAACTAGGATGAAACAGCAGCTGTCCAGTACTCCCTGGTTTTCAATGGTTCTCTAACTGATATCAATCCGTGATCAACTCGTAAAAACATAACTAACCCTTACAAACCAAACTATAGAAAATTCAAGAAATAAATTAGGTCGAATCTCAAAAGTTACGTAATACCAAAGATGAAGTGGACAGACAGTCAGAGTTAAAAAAAATATCACAAAGGACGACGGAGATGGAAAATAAGAAAGGGTGGGGGTGGGTTTGAATAGAATTCACCTGGGCTAAGCAAGAGAGATACAAAGGTAGAACAAACTTCTATTGTATGCAAAGATACTAGGATAGTTCTCTCGAATTCCCATAGCTTCGACTATGTGTAAAAGGTGAGTTCGAATTCCGTTCGAAAGGCTCGATGGAATGCGATAGATAACTTTATTCACATTCATTTCTTATGAACTGTACAACTTTAAAACACATCACGACACATATATGCATATAAATTTCATGAGGGTTTTTAGGATCAACCTGTTTATGTTTCTGTTGTTGACAACGTAGTCATGTCTACTCTATATGTTTATGTAGAGTAAAAATAGTAGGTTTTACTGTTACAACTGAATATATACATATACATATTTGTTGACATATTATTGAATATTAATTCTAAACCGTAAAATTTCTTAAAATTAGTTTGTTTATACTATCGTAGTCAGTGGCTAATGTGTATATGCTATGATGAAAAAAAGCACATTGTTTAATTTTATGGCTAACTGGAGAATTGATTATTTATGCTCAGAATAAGCGAAATTCTTTTACGTGGTTGACAGAAAGTCTTTTGCTACTTTTTCACTCTCTCTCTCTCTCTCCCTAATTCTTGTTTTGATTGTAGTCATGGTTGTATGTATGACGCTTAATGTCTTTATTATTATTATTTTTTCTTCTTCTTCATATCTAGACTTATTGTGGTCGATAAGGTAACAGATTTCATCTTGTTCATTGGAAAGCTTGTCGTTGTTGGTGCTGTTGGTAAGTGAGGCGAGCATGCCGCACAGATTTATCCATTTGAATGAGATAATTTATTTCTGTGTATAGATGAAAAGAAAAATGTCCGTACCTTTTTTCTTTTTGAAGCAATTAATTAAATTTATAACGTCATATACTACTACTGATTGATTGTTATGAGTAGTTGGATTCCATTCAGATGAAATACAAATTATCTACCCATTGACATTTTGACACTGATTAATTATTGTTAACAAACATATCGCCACGTGTTTGGTAAATTGTTGTGTATTGTAAAAAATGCTACATATATTAGAGTAGAGCCATAGAAGAGGATCTAACTGAAAAGTAAATATTTATTTCGCTCAATCTTTCTGTTTTGAAATACAAATGCTTGTTAGCGCTAGATCAGAGTGATCTAAATGCCGGAAAGCCGTCTCAGTCGTTTAGGACTGGTCTGATCAACGGTTTACCCCGTTTTACTGAGTCTAAGGAGCTGGCTCAGTTTAGACCGTTTAAATTCTAGCTAGCTGAGATCACAATATGTGATCTGCTTGATACTTTGAATGCTAACAGGAGTCGTGGTGGCTTCAGCTGATTTGGAACCCTGAGCTGACTCGAATTCGGTTTACCGCTGGTGAGCTCGGCTTTCAACGAGCGAAACGGTCTTCCGATGTTTATAACACTTTGATCTGGTGCCAGGCACCACTATCGGTGAATGTCAATGATCTTCAACTAGTCATGTTGATCAAAGAGTAGTATTTAGCAACATGAGCTGTAGCTTGTTTTCTTGATAACTATTTATGGTATCAAGAAGATCACTTGGTTTCGGAAAGGAAACTGGCGAAATTTGATTCTGCTTATAACTTTTTCTACTCGAATAATCTGTGACGTGGAGACTTAAGCACGTATCAGCTGATGATGTATACTGTTTGACAGTCAAAACCGTGGATCATGTATCCAGATTCAAACAAATATATTTATTTAAGTATTGGTTTGTAGGGATTTGATTGATTGATTACAGGATTTCATCATGAGCTGGCATTGGTTAGAGAACCATTGGAAAACCTGCAGGGGGTACTGGACAGCTGTTTCATCTTATTTTGGGACTCTACAGTAGTGCGCATCCACCAAGGGTCGAACCCAGGACTTCCCAGTTACAAGGCGAGCTCGTAGACCATTAAGCCACTGGATCCCAATCCAATGGGCCATTGTTGGGTGCGTAATGGTGAAGAGTACCAAACTAGGACGAAACAGCTGTCCAGTACTCCCTGCAGGTTGTCCAATGGTTCTCTAACCAATGCCAGCTTATGATATCCTGTTTCCAAATTTCTTTATTTTTTATGAAGATTAGTGTGGCTGTCATGTTCAGATTCGTCTTTAGTCAACTCTTTAAATACAGACTGGATGTTTTCATAGGGAAGATGAATATATAATGAACTTCAATTTGCTTTACTGATTACATCCTGTCTGAGTACATGCAGATGCTGCAGAAGGGACCTTTCCTTTCCTTCATTAACCTCATCCATGAAAAACTTTGTGTCCAGATGAGACAGATATCTCTTTATGTATGATGTTATTGTTGGTTAGAAACAGGTGATTTTCTGAAAAATATTGTCGAATTATCTACGTACGAGCTTCTTGGATAATCTGAATAAGCTTTTACGTTTGGTTCAGCTTCTCTATGTACGAGCATTAAAACTATTGGTTAATATTATTTCAACTGAGATATTTCTGTAGCAAACTTGAAACCAGACAGAACTCATTCCATATATTCTTCGGACTGAAGTGATTGAGTGCATAAGCAGCGACCACACAAAAAGGATATCGATCTATTCGCTCAAATGACATCTCCACTGAAGTCTTTATAAGTTGTTTTTTAATTTCCCTCACGTTCCCAGTGGAACATTGGGCCCCAAGCTAGTGGCTTGAAGTTTCTGTAACAGTTTTTAATTTTTACAGGATGGGGTTGCTAGCCTCATGCCCAACCTTTCCTCTTCACCAGCATTATTTCTGGCTTAGCGAGGTAAAGGAGTGCGTCGGCCGCACCATGTGTGTGGTCGGCGAGCGTCCTAACCGCTATGCCACCGGCGCGAAGTCTTTATAGGTAGTGACTTTATTTGGTAGAATATGCATGTTGTATACATCTAATTTAAACTGTATAACAGTTGTTTATTCGTTTAAGAAAGCCATCAAATTTCTTCCATTCTAAATTTACTCTATTCTTCTAGTTGCTCTTTATCTTTATCTTCGTGGTGGTCTTGTTTGGTCACCTGAGTGTTTGTCATCGATGGGCGTAAGTACTACTAGTAGTACTAATAGTAACAATTGTAATAGTGACACTTCGTTTGCATGGTTTTAAGCGATCTAGCTTTTAATGGTTACATCATATTCTATGATAATGCATGAACATACATACTAACAGCAGTGATGTTGGAATTCATTCTCATGTTTGTGTAACATCTCCCCCTCACCCCCACCCATACACCTCTGTGGTCATTTATCGTTCGTGAAATTAGTTGTAAACGAAGTGTATCCTTCCTTAGATTAGAAGACTCAATTCAAGTATAGTTTTGATGTATGTTGTACTGTCTCTCATTTACATGTTACTCTTTTATAATAATAACTCATCAAAAAGTACTAAAGAATCATAATACTTGCATGTAGTCGTTGTACTTGTGTACATCTCTTTTTATATATGTATGTATGTGTATGTTTGTGTGTGTGTGTGGAAAATTACTTCTCTCTGTGTATGCTTTTCATTGGTTACATCATACATACCATAATCTGCGGCTTTTCTACTCGAGTTTATTTCATCATTTCATTTCATTTTCATCAGGTGGTTTGGCTTATACCTATTTGGAAGGTACACTATTTGGAGGGAATAAACTTCTGAATGAATTAAATCCTCCTAATCTGCATTATGCATTTATACCATTGTGTGTAAGTATTACTACTCGGAGGGTCTTTTATTCTTCTTGTATAGATTGGGTTTCATTTCGAATGAATGTGTGTGTATATGCATGTGTTTGTAGATTTACGATGCACACTCTATTTCATGTTACATGCTACATGTGTTGTTATATTTGTGGGTTATCTTGTTTGGTTTTGTTTTTAACTTACTTTGTCTGTCTATCTGTTTTCGACATAGAGCTTTGCACTGATGTGCAGCAGTTCAAGTTGCCACACTCCCTCCATGTAGCACACAAAGCTAGAGAAGAAAGTAGAAGAAATGCATAATAGAGACAGTAGACAGGGATATGAGATGAAAGGAATAGTAATAACGAAGAATAATATCGTTTCATTGGAAATTATAAGGCACAAGGAGTGGATGCATCTGCGCCAGCCATTGAGAACGATTTTGAGCCATATCACTACTGATTGTTTCCAGCCATTGGTTTTTACTGTTCCGAGGACCCCAACCAGTCAGGAAGTCTACACCTCCCTACGTGACTTAAACTAACTTTTGTGGATTTCACTGACGGGTGCCAGGCTTCGGTTTGACCACCACTGGCTCTTTTCCAACCTGATCCTATATCAGCTAACATTGACCGTCGAAGAAGGCGATGGCTAGTCGTGCATGCGTAACACATGTCCTAACCATCTCAGTCGATGTAGCTTCACAGTCTCGTCGATTGATTTCCTCTCCTTACCTAGCACTCGACAGATACCTAACTTCAACAATGTTCACCCTATTATACCACTTCACACAGGAGATAGAACGCAAGCACCTATGATCAAAGACAGCTAGTTTTCTCATGTCTTCCACTTACTTACTTTGTTCTGTTATTACAATAAATAAATACTCTAAGCCAGGTGACTTTTTGTCTGGTGTACACTACCCACTTGGAGATCATGTTTTTGAGACCGTTAGTCACTTTGTGTGTACCTTTTGCATAGTAGAAGAAACAAAAATGCAGCAGTGCTAGTGGTAATGAATTAATCCTTAAAATTTACTGAGTCGTAAGTTTTCTTGCTATCCAGATTCCGTGATACACCAAAACGTACTACCCCAAATCAATCGGCATTTATATCTCACTGCACACCCCACTCTGGAAGTATACCTCATTGGCTTAAGCACTCGGTTTCAGCCGCCCATGAGTCAGTATGGGCAACTGGATAGTGTCATCAGCCCCTGAAGTAGTCGTATATGAAAAGTCGGTTCCGGATAATTGAGTTCAAACATCTTAATACACCCTATCATTTTACTGAATTTTTAAGGCATTCCCAAGTCTTGAAAAAGATAGAAATCAAGGATAAATGTCCTATGATAACATGAGTTATTCAGTGATTCTCTGTTATGTTGTCTTAATGATTGGTGGCCTGCTTGAATCTCTGCGCTACCTGAATTCGTGGGTTTCCAAATCTACTCGTACATATTTTTAATTGGCTTGCAGTCTATGGTTGAGGTTTTCTGTGAAACTGAAGAAAGATACCGTGGTGGATTATTTTATATCTTCAGTTCTAACATCACGGCATCACATGATATACTGGAGATGGCTGTTTTACTTGAAACTCCTGGATGAAGTGTAAATATTATGCAATAAACTACGCTGAAAATTGTGCCTATTGTGTAAATTTATTGTGCATAATAAAGCTATTGTTATTCAACACAAACGTGAAGTCAGTCAGTTCTTCTATACGGGTCAGAAACTTGACCAGCGTGTCACGAAAAAGATTTCCAACAGGTTACTGCAGAATTTTATCAACAGCTTCCTCCTTTGCTGGCTCCAAACTGAAGATCAAATAGCTAGCTGGCCAGAAAGAATTAGTAACAAGAAACTCTGGGAACAAACAAACAGGTGAAGGCCGATCGCTCAACAAATATTTAGGAGAAAATGGTGCTGGATCGGGCATAGGTTGAGGAGGCCATCGCTTGACATCCCGTGCAATGCAGGCCAACGCTCGGGTGGAACCCCAACGGGAAGCGACGAGTGAGTCGTTGGTGTGATGGTGACATGGAGGGGATGAGAGATTATGGGTAATCGTGGACTCAGATAAGGCGGACGGTAGGGAATAGAAGAAAGTGGAGATGTTTTGATGAAGCCCTATGTTCCACTCGGAACCCAAGGGAATAATAATAATTATATTAAAACCAACATCCGATAGCTGAAACAAATCGCCTACTAGATTTACAAACTGAAAAGTGAAAATTCTCATAGGTGGTTATTACAATTCTTTAGCTTATCAAAATTATAATAAACGCCTCCTAATTGTGAGTACTCGTCGAACTGAGATTTTACATTTCTCACCTTTATGTTTATGAAAAAGGATTATGTAGCTTTTTTTCTGTGAACACAAACAAACACAAATATTTCAATAGCTGAAGAATACACTTCTACTTGACCACTTATTAGCGATGGGAGAAAATATCTGTCGAAGGTGCTCTTGAACACTAGTGTATAACGGGATAAAACAAAAGAAAGTAACTCTGTAACAGTAAGCTGTAAGTCATGAAGTTCGTTAGTTGCTCACGAGTATCATTCATGGAATAGTGTACCAGATATGCAAATGGTAATTTGATGCAATCAGTTAATATGCAGTGCGAGAAATATTGATCACTTTGGTACTTTATTCTTCTCTAGACATGACCTCATACCTTTTTGTATTGTATTATTTTAGATTATTATACTAGCCTCCTATCTAGTCGCAACACTATTTTCAAGTGTCTTTGAGATGGGTGTGGATACAATATTTCTATGCTTCTGTAAGTCAGTCAGTCTACTTTGGTTTTGTTTTTTGCTGCTCTAATGGTTGTTTTGATTTCTGATTGTCACCGAATTCCGTCTCATAGTAGAAAAAAAGGAAAATGCAGCTATATTGGCTCCGATGAATTTTAGTTTCTGAGACTGATTGAGCCTCAAAGCTTCACACGTCATAACCCCATCCATTTGGCGTTTATCTCATTGCACCACATCACCTTTCTACTCTTCTTAGTCACTCTCAAGTCGTGAAATAGATATTTGTATAAAATCAAGGCTAATGTTCTATAATGATATAAATTATTGAATGGCTCTTTTTCGGTTGTGGAAGTATTTGCTTGGCGTGGTCTTACAGACAGAAGTGATCCCACTCCATTGTATCACCAGTTTAACAGGTGTGGATTTAACAGTTTTAAAGCAATTTTTCACACAATGAAGCTTGATTAACGCGATTTTTAGATTTCAGACTAAAGTCTTTAAGGCACGATTTGTAGTTTGAATTAGATTTGGATGCATTATTGGGAATGTTGTGTCACTATCTAAACAGATGAATGGTTGGACTGTTTTCGAAGCAGATATTAGACGTGAAAATCTTGACTTCTAACTTGGTTAAGTTCAGTATACATAGTCTGTATGTCTCCACATGATAAGTCAAAGTTTGGATATGCAACATGGAATAGCCTTTGTCTAGGTGGCAGTTAAATGTTGTTGTGGAACTTACATCTTCTTTACGACTTTTCTCATACTTCTAGTGATATTATGGTGTTAATATACTAAGTACAGGGGTCTACCTCACTATCTAGCTTCCAACGTATATGAACTAGTGGTAGCATAAGTGAGAAAAAAAGCTTCAGAAGAACAAAGCAGTTGCATGTTATTTGATAACAATAGTCGTATTGGAGTGGGTGATTAAGAATATGGATAATATTAACTAGTTTCCACCAGTATTTTTCTATTTTCCCTGATGTTTCTTTAAATTTATCAATCACTTTTATCCTTTAAGTGAAGAGAAAGCTCTAGTCTATCATATCTGTGGCTTTTCAATAATCCGCTTACCTGTTAGTAGTGAATTTTAATGCGTTGTGAAAATGTAATGACAACTGTTTCATAATTACTTTTACTTTACTTCGGCTATCTCCTACGGGAGGATGAGCCGGCTTCATGAACATCTCGAATCATAGCTGCCCAGGCGCGGCGATCTGATGCAAGGTTTTGCGACAGGGTTTTCCAATTCTTGTTCCACAGATGGCGTCCATAGACGGTTTGTAGCCCCAGGCACTCCATATCAGGTAAGAGAGTTCACGAAGTTTCATTGGAATTTGGTACGAGTGATGTCCCCAGAATCGCTCGGCCTTTTGTTTAAGAGTGCAGCTCTAGCCTTTACACAACCAAGTGTGACCTACAAGGCAGTAGGAGTGGAGTAGGGAGTCCACTATCCATTGGCAGCCGCTGACCGGAGTTTGGTTCATACGCCTTTTTGAATGGGGCCAGACATCCAGGACATCCAACAAGCCCTTTGTCCATAGGTCTGGCGGTGAGCTCCAGTGAGCTTCATACGCCAGTCGTTTGAGGTTTGGAATCAGGGTTTAGCCATCTCCCCTAGACTGTCATCCAATGGACAGTCAACCCGGTGAAGAGCGCCGGGCATCCGCTTTCGCCCTCTCACTTTGGTGAAAAACACCTCCGCCACGTGAAGGCAGTGAGTAGGACTTCCTCAGGAGAGGCTATGTAAGACGCCCGATCATATGGGAGCATTTCAAGAGGTGTGCGGAGGGTTGGCCAACCCGCAGCGCAAGGCACCCACCCCCGATCATCCTAGTATGGGGTTCGAAGCCAGGTGATAAATCGGGTCCCAGTGGCTAAATGGTATACGAGCTTGCCTTGTAACCTGAAGGTCCTGGGTTCGAACCCCAGTGGGTGCGTACTGCCGATGATTCACAAACTAGGCTGACGAGACAGTTGTCCAGTACTACTCGCTGGTTTTCAATGGTTCTCTAACTGATATCAATCTGTGATCAACTCATAAAAACAATCATAGGAAAGGAATGACAACTACCAAATGACAATTGCGTAAACAGCCTATACAAAGATGTTTTATGGATTTCTTCACTTTTTACGTGAATTCGCCAAGTATAGACAAATCAATAAGAAGACATATTTTGTCTGAATCATGTAATATGTTCGCACAACATATTTCCAACAATCTGATCACACATGGACTTGTCATAGGGATATATATGAAATTAATAAAGAGGTAAGAGGTAAGAAAATAGACTTAGGTCAAGTTAAAAGAACATATTTAAGGTCTAAATAACAATGAAGGTCACTGAACCAAAGGAGGGGATAGTAGTACATCTACTCTGGTATCAAAACGAAGTCTACCAAGGAAGGTTTAGTATGATGACGAATTGCTTTTGAACGCATAAAGGTGGTTTAAACTTCCTAATTGCAAGCTACTGCTTCCACAAACTTTAGGATACACCCCAAACACGTTTTATGGATAGGTTTAAAAGATGTGTCAACGTCAGTTTTATGTCTTGTCTCTATAATATGTGTCACAATAGAGGAGCTAGGTCGTCTGTTTTCACCATTAATGGGTTTTGGAGATTCAATTTACTTCTGAAGTCATTTAGGAATATGCTCTTAAGCCTTTACTTGCAGAGATCGATGAGTCCTCCCTACGTGTACTTGTATCCACACGTACAATCAAATTGGCAAATACAGTGGGATATGATATCATTTTTCGCATGTTCTAAAGGTCTAGATGGATATATTGGCTTCACATTCTCACTTATTCTGATCTTAGTTGTTTAAAAAGGCTTTTTAACATCAGCGTTCAATCTTTTTCGACTAACCAAGCTCCTATGATCGCCCATATAGGGTCGTTGGAGAATGGGTCTTGGCGTTCTGACCAATTTATAATCTCCTTATGAACTTGTCTGGATAACTGTTATCAACCAGAGTTTGTGTCAACTTTCTTTCTGCATTCACTAAGTGTGTCTTCAGTGCATATTCGTCGGATTCTACTGCAGGGACACCTTACTAAGGCTCTTTTGTACCGAACCGGACAGAAACGGTGATAATTAAGATACTGTCCTGTCCAGACAGGTTTTCTATGAGTAGATCGTTTTATTGACCCATCAAGCCGTCGGCTAAGCAGTATCTCTTCCTCTTCTACAAACGTATGTGATATGCTACTCTGAACTTCATTCATTCGATTTAAAATTGAGTTGGCAAATTAGGGTTTGTCATTTATGATGTCAGTGTCGTTGACATATCTCCTATAGAGCTGTACATGTTCGATTAAATCATCTGATGAACTCTCAATGTATGACTTATAGATATCTGCTAAAAGAGGCCCTAACAAACTTCCCATAGCAACACTATCAACTTGATGGAAGCAATCACTTTCAAATGTGAGCCTAACATTTGCAGTACATAGATGTGATAAATCTTTTGACCTTCGATATATCCTTTTAACTTGACCTAAGTCTATTATATGCATAAATATATATTCCTATGACAAGTCCATGTGTGATCAGATTGTTCGAGATGTGTTGCCCAGTTACATTACACGATTCAGACAAATTATGTCTTCTTATTGTTTTGTCTAAATCCATACTTTCTTCCTTGTAATACAAATGTTTATTTTTTGTTGTTGCTTGTTTTGTTTTTACAGTAGAGGATTTGGAACGAAATGATGGTTCTGCTGAACGCCCATATTATATGAGCAAAAATCTTATGGAGATTTTAGGTAAACGAAATGTCCAACGTAAAGCCACAGGTGATAAGGCTGACATCTAGATTACAACAAAAAAAACTATAACTTCGAAATTCTCATTAAGTGATTACTGAATTTCTATGCGCGGATTAATATATTTTTGATTTCGACAGAGATAGACGAAGAAAAGACGATCATAATATTCTGACGGAAAGCCATAACAGTGTAGTTCTGGCTTAAATCATACTACTTACTGTACAATATAAATATATATTTTTTCGCGAGCATATTTATAGACGCTTCCTTTGCTCATTTTCTCTATTCCGAATTGCAAACGGACATACAATCTTCTTTTTGTTTGTCGAAAAATGATATTTGCATTTTTTTCTATCTCACTGCTTTATTTGTAGGAATATTCAACTTTTTATTTAAGTACTATCTACAATTATTATTATCACTGTCATTTTATTTCAGTTTTTTGGCTAAGTCAATAAATTATATGATTTCTATCACAATTGTAGTTCATTCTCCTTTTAGCGCAGATATTTTTACATACTACTGAGTATTTACCCTTTTCGTACCATGCCAACTGCCGAACGCCCTCGGTCATCCGGGAAAGGAGTAAGAGTGTGCTTTCCGCGAGCCGCCCCAGCGACTCATACAGTCCCAGAACGAACTCCCCAAGACAGGTCATCATCAATTTCTCATATTTACATCTCAGGACACCCTTGGTGCCACTTCTCCAGCTGGTATGAACAGGAACATCTTCTCAGGGGCCTCTGCGCATTGGAGCCAACCAAACCTTGACTCATGGCACAAGATCCCGACCTCCACGCCTCTACCCACAGCACAAGACACTGCTCGAGACAGGCCTCGGCTAACAGTCACACCAAGCTGCGCCTCGCGGTTTGGGTTACCTGCTCTAACAGCCACCCACTAACCAGTTGTTATTGGCCCCAGTCCTCTCGTCAAGAATCCCGCAGATCCAGTGGCCCCGCCGATGCCTCGCACACCACCATAAAGGCCAAAGGACGGCACCGCTGCTTCATCAAGACTGAGTAACTAGACGTGAGTGTTGTCTCATGCAAGCGACAGGTCTTAGATGGAGCTCGGTCCGCTCACCGACAAAACCCACCCAGTGGTAGCCCCGAGGAGGCGCCTGCCGCATATAACCATAACCCTCGTCCCACCACTTCCCATGCCCGGTTGAGTTTCTTCACGTGGACACTCAGAGCACTGGCAGAACTTCGTAGCCAAATGTAGACTTAACAAGAGAAGCCAATATTGGAAAACACACGATGGTCTAAGGATGTCGGTCCTCGCACCGCATGTAGGGCCCCTCCTGATGAGCCTAACATTTATTAGATGACAAGGCATTTGGTTACCTTAATAGAATCATAGTTACTCCCATCACGCGGTTTTTTTACTATCTACAGTATGTTTACGTTTCGTTGCTCTTAACCCAGAGTAAGTGATACCGGAAACAGTAGATTAAATTCTAGCTATCTAAGTCAATGAACTGAGTAAGGAGCAATACAGATATGCTATTCCACCATGATGCATTCACAGACACAAACACACACACACACACGGGTATACTAACTGTGTTCTTTGTATGTATGCCTCAACTACATGAAAAAGTTGATGTAAGGCAGTATGTAGAAATGTTTGTTAGTGTACTTTCTAGGTGTTAGGGATTGGTTAATAAAAAAACACACTATCCTATACCTGTTTATCTTTGAAGTTAGGATGATCTGTGAACTGTTAAGCAGCACTTGTGTTTGTGTGTGTTTATGCTTAATGAAATGAAAGCTATTCAGCTGGTGCTAATTTTATGTTCACATTTTTTTTAAATTCAATGGAACGTTTTTTTCGAAAATCATCACATTTATTTTAAGGAAATAATGGTTTTGATGACACTCGGTATTATGGCTTACCAATCTGGTTTATATTCACTCACTTAGTGGATTTCAAATGCTTTACGTAAAAATTTGTAGCTCAGGTGGATGGTTGTGTTCTCTAAGCTGGTTGATTTAACTGAGAAACATTCGTTGTCCATCTAGACAACATTTTCAGCTTGAGCTTTAACAATGAAATGAAATTATTCACGAATGATTTAATTATCTCCTTTGTTGTGATTGGTTGTTAATTTACATTTTTATTGGTCGTTTCTTTTTGACTTGGGATTTTTAAACTTTTTTGTCATGTGATTTATTCTTCATTAGTTGGTAAATTTAATGTATAATAATGTGTCTGTTAATCACTGATTCACTTATAATAATAGTAATAATAATAACATATTCTCGCTTTTGGTATATGAGAGACGCCAGTTTACAGGCATCATCAATATGATAAATTACATATACGACTAGTAAGCATATTTAATAATAGTAATATAATGAAATGCATATGTATTCCTACCTATGTAGGACACACCAGTTATACAGGCATGGATAAAGTATTATTTAAATTACAGGAATTTGGTTTATGGTGAAATTACATGGTTGCTGTCTTTTTTGTCTTTAATTGGTGGGAACAATCTGCTAACTAGTCATTAAGTGCAGCACATTAAGAAATATAGAAATATTGTCTTCGCATTAACAGAAAAACCCAAGTACATGTTGGATAGATTACAAATACTTGCGAAAAAGATAAAGCTTGAAGTCATTCCCCTACATAACTTTGGTGTGTACGGAATCGAATCTTATTCTTGATTTATATCCAAATCGGGTAATAATTTAAAATAAGTGATACACTTGTATAATTTTGTCAGCATTTTTATCGTAAGTAACACCAGAAGTGAATTGTACTCAACGCAGACTAATGATAATGATAGTATATATTTTCTTATAAACGGGTGTTTACAAGAAATGCAAGCTATTTTTACAGGCACGATCAGTTATGTTATAAATTACAATCGTGAAGTATTATAAATTAATACTTTTTCATTGGTATAAAGGTATATTCCACAACTGTAATCCAGGATGCGTCGTGGGGGATGGTAATGGGTAATTCACGAGGCACTTGTAGGATATGGGACCAATAATGTTTGCAGATCATTTGTCATTGTAAGTGGTCAAATATCTACTTTCTTTATTCTCATTCTAAAAGTCATATAGAAACTAAAATGGTGAGAGAAGAAAAGAAGACAAACGACAGCAACACAAAAGAAAGCAAGTGGAGTCCTCAAGGAGTGATTTATTAATTTATATATAAATATACGCTTAATGAACTTAAAATATCTATGTGGGGTGAAAAAGAGGGTGTAGGAGTCAAACGCATCTTTGAGCAGTCTGGTGACTGAAGAGAGAAACAATGGAAGTATGTTTGCATCACGCACATTAGCTGGTAGTCTATTCCAAGTGACTGAAAACTTATTTAAGAAGAAGTTGTTCCACATGTAAGTTTGACAATGCACTATAGCAACTACGTTGTCATGATTTCTAAGATTCTAACTGATGACGTTGGTAGATTTAGTTATTGGCCTGGAGGAGTGCAAGAGAAGATTGGTTAGCTTGTAGTATAAAATAAGGTTCAGCTTGAGACGTCTTTTCAGTCTGTCACGACGCTCAGAGTATTCGAGACTACATTCCAAACCAAGAGTTCTTGAGGTAAATTGCCGTTGCACACCCTCTAATTTAAGCTTGTCATTCTGTCGCAGTCCGCTAAGAATAAACGGGCAGTATTCTAAAATAGGTCGGACACATACTTTATATAATAAAACCCTAGTTTCACAGCAAAAGAAACTGCGAGTTATACATCCAAGGAGCCTTCGTGTTTTACATAATCAGTTTGTTCAGAGGACGTTAAATTACCAGATTATCTGATACCGAGATCTACCACTGAGTTGAGCTTGGCTAGTTTTCGCCCATTTTCTTCAAGAGTTAGGTCAAGGTTACTGTTGCCGATGCAAATCCAGCCACATTTGTCAATGTTAAACTTTAGACAGGATTCAGCAAACCACGTTGCGAGACTACTTAGTTCAAAGCGTATTTTACTTGCCATATCGTTTCCTTTATGACTGTAGCAGCAGTAAACAACTTTGAGGTCGTCAACATATAGGAATGGTTTACCTGAGGTGAAGCAGTTACAAATGCTGTTAATGTAGACTGTAAATAAAAGTGGATGTGTTAGTTAGCGAGATTTTTTTATTCCTCGTTTACGTTCCAAGTGAAACATAGGGCTTCAAGCTAGAGCTTCGAAGTTTCGGTAGCACAGTGGTTTTTATTTTTACGGGATGGGGTTGCTAGTCTCACGCCCAACCTTCCCTCTTTACTGGCTTAGCGAGGTTTGGGTGTGTGTCACCCGAAGATCGAACCCTGGACCACGTGCGTGGTTGGTGAGTGTTCTACCGCTGCACCATCGACTCACAGAGATATTATTGTATGTTTTTAGTCGATCGGAAGTTTCTTCACCAATAATACACTTGATGTCGTTGATTAGTTCAGTCCTAGATGTTGGTACTGACTGAATCCTGTTAGTCGATTCGCCATGTTAATCCCCAAGCTGAATGACTCACCATCTTGATGCTTGGAAGTAGTCGGCAAGAAACTCCCTGTTGTACACCTACGGTTTTGTGCTTATTTGCACTGGTCAGCTTACGTTCAACCTCGAAGGAATTGATACCCCTCTCGCCTCCTCAAGAATTCTAACCTACGTCACCCAGTGTTGTAGTCAGGATTGTTACCACTGAACTATTCGGGCACAATGCCATCAGTATTATTTATTAAGTTTCAATGAGACTGAAATATAGCAACTTTGCCTAAAGTAATTTAAGTATAGTCATGTGTGTTCGTTGTAATGTCCGGTAGTTTGGTTCATAGATCCATCGAAAACTGGATCTGTTTGAATTGAATAAATGGAGAGAAATATCAGCCATGTAATACGATTATTATTTTAATGATGATTGGACTGCTTATCAGTGAATTCGATATTATTTGTATATAGCAGTTTCCATTCATGTATGCTGTCGGCACTGAAGCATAAAGGCTATTAGGTAAAAAAGGATATTTACCTGTCAAAATTTATTTTGTCTGTTTTTTCCAAGAATATACATTTATATTTTACAATGACATGAAAATGTCTGTAGATGTACTACTACCATATTCATTGGTTATTGGCTGATAATTTTAGTCATATTTTGTATGGATAGAGGATTACATAACTTCCCCCCCCCCCACACACCCACTGTCCTAGACAAGTAATAAATGGTAGGCGTTTACTACAAAACTACCAGACAAAAACATGATAAAAATAAAATACAATTAGGTCATTTACTTTGTTCTTATACCTATCGATCGAGATAGTTAGGACATGTGTTGCGCATGCCTAGCCATCGCCTTTCTCGACGGGAAATGTTAGGATAGATCGGGTTAGAAAAGAGCCAGTAGTGGTCAAACTAAAACATGGCTTCATCAGTCGACAAAATCCATGACAGTTAGTTTAAGCCACTTAGGCAGATGTAGACTT